CCCCCTTACAAGCAGAACACACACGAATGATTAATAGAAAGATGTAGAGGCTCATGAATAGATATAAGCTTCCACAAGTGATGCTACCCAGAAGAACGTTATAGGACTTGCCATAGTTCCAACGCGCAGAAGTTCTCATTCCCATTCATATTCATGGGTCCATTTTTAACGAATGTTGTTTTTCTTGTTGAAAGTAAGAGCAACAAAACTGCGAAAGGGCTTGATGGATATCAAACGTTAACATCGATTTTTGAGTGCATTTTTTTTTTGGGAAAATGTATGTATTGCAGAACACACACACAAAAAGAATCAAGTATTACAACTCCTTCTGGAACTCAACTTTTCAATCAATTAGCGATTTCAAAATGTGACAAATAACCCTCTCATATAGGAAAAAAGGGGAAAGATTAAGAGGTCAAGTACTTTACAGGGAGAAATTGTATGCATAGCACATACTTTCCTATTGGGTATTGGCAAGCATAGCTGCATATAAAATATCTAACGTATAAATAGTGATGTAGCAAAAAACGAATGAGTGGGAAAAAAAACGGACTATAAGCAAAAAAAGTCCTCATATCCCACCCTTTCTTTATTCATATACACACATAACGTCACCACCACACAGGCACGCATGCCTCAAAATATTTTCGTCATATATACAGACACATAAATGTATATATATTCATTTAGCATCCTCACCGATGTTTACCATGCATCAACACTCCTCCTCGTTTGCCGGCCAATCATTTTCTATTCTCAAGCAATCCATCTCCTTTCGGGTCCATTCGTTTTGAATCCCAAAGCACTGTTGTATGAGATGTGCAGCCTCAAAGTTATTTGAGGTTCCATAGCTCGCACGTATCATAAAATCCGCCATCCACGCAAGGCAGAGTTCGTGCAGTGTATCGATACGAAGCTCCTGTGCGGCCTTTCTGACCTGCATGAGAGTCCGCATCCCCTCCGCTCGCGGCGGGCGCATCACGAGCGCGTCGCGCACACTCTTATCTGCGAGAACCATCCCTGGGAAATGATAATCTATTCCATCAGGAAGAATCGTATCGATCATAATCATCGTCTTCATGGTGCTCCCATCATAACCAAGAATGTTGACATAAAGGAAGTTCCGCTCCCACGGCGAGAGGAGACTGCAGAGAGGTGCTGTCAAGGGCATCGGCAGGACTGTGGGGACGTCCTCGTGGGCATATGCCTCTAGGTCTTGAGCGGCCTGCACAAAGTGAAGGAGGTAGTCAACGCAAAGTTGCAATGCTTTGCTGTAGACTTTGGGAGTATGAAACGCGTTTTTTTTTGAACTGGCAGTCCCGCCGTTTCCGTTGTAATGAGGTGTCATGCCGTCCGAAACCTCTCCTTTGCACGCCATTCGATCCGCAGATTGTGTGGCGGCTTGCGATGCGGATCGTTTGTTTGAGCTCGCGTTTGTGCTAGCTGGTGACGAGCCGGAGAGGGCAGATGTCGAGTTGGCTAGCTTCTCCTCGTTGAGGGGGAAGGGGCGAAGGTCAATGAGAATTTCGCCAGCTGTGATACGCGCTCGATTGGAGATGTCGTTGAGATCGTACACTGTATCGTCGTGCGTGTCAGCATTATTCTTGGAGCCAAAGGGAAATACCGCAGCGTCTGACGTGGTCGTCAGGGGCGCTGATTTACTATCCACATCCGCACAAATGCTCGGCTGCCGCTCATTAGTTTCATGGATATTACTACCCATATCATTGTTTTCGCTATTGACGTCAACATAGATGTTCTTCACGGCGATTTCATAGTCATTATCACAAATCCCATGGCATGTCTTTTCTATCGACCCTGCGCAGGGTGAAGTGCTTAAGCGTCCTAAGCTATGTAGTGTTTTCTGTTGACCATTGCTGCCCATAATGATGACCTTGTCATCATCTTCAAGCATTACCGGGGTGCGCTGATGGACACTCGTCGGGGATTTCCATTCACCTTGGGGGCTGCTCCTGTTGTCGAACGAATTACTCAAGTTCGTAGAGTTAAGCGCTGGGCTAGGACAATTGTAGAGAACCTTTTGTACATCCTTGGGGCTATCCTCGATAGCCTCACGTCTTTCGTTGAGGGTATCAACTAAGCTAGAGCCAGGCACCTCTGTAGGAGCCACATCAAACCACGTCTCAGCGTCCTGTGGGTCAACGTGGCTTTCTTCGATAACGACTACCGTAGGGGAGTGGTCCTTCCCAAGACCGGTCCCACTGCTATCACCGGCATTGCATCCACCTTCAATACCCGTTTCCCCCCCTTTGAGTCTTGCTTGCGCGGTCGAGCACACAGTACCTCTCGGCGCACTGAAGTAGGATGGCAGATTTTCACATGTTGCGCTACTATCCCCTGTGGGTTCGTGCATCTTACGAGTCTTTTTTCCCAATGCAACAAAATAGGGGCCACACCCACGTTCATCATATGTCGTGCTACTCGGAGGCGTGAAGGGTTCGTGCGTAGAGCCTGAAATCGTATTGTACCCTGCATTTGCGGCCTCTCTGTCACTATCACACTTTTTGGAAGCTCTATTGCTGTTATTCGAAGCCATAGAATCAACAACGAGGCTCATATGGGGCTTTGTTTCATCCTTCGACGAGATATCCTTGAGGGGGGCGGGCGGCGGTGCGATTGTCTGACACCTCGGCAACAGACCACGATTGACAAAGCTATCATCGTCCATGGAGGAACTACTGGTGTAGCTACTACTGCTGTCCATGTCTGATTGCCCCGAGATCGAGGAACTGCGGAGAGGTTCAGTCGTCTCCTCGTAACTATCACGCTCGTCATCGTCATCGTTATTTATCGCAGTGGAGGGCTGCGAAAGGTACTCTAATGTCCATCTCTCAAGGGCGCTTTTCAATAGCACGGAATACTCCGCAGCTTGCTCTGGAATGACAAATCTCGCGCCGTCAGTCGAGATAATGGATATAACGGGCGAGATGCTTGCTATATTTTTCATCATGAGTTATTTCTAAAAGGGAATTCTCGATACACGTTGATCTATACACTGTTGTAAATAGACACACTACGCACAAACCCAAAAGTAACTACTGAAGTCGTGGCACACGATACGTACCTCGTTTCCCTATAGCCTTTGAATCACTATATTTTCCTCAAATGGAAAACTTACACTGATAAAAAATTGTAACAACACGAAGTGCAGAAGGATAATAAGGGAATAAGCGATATTTGCAGACATATATATTGGACTCAACTTTGGGTCCCCGTATAACTGATAGCTAGGTTTACCCTTAAAAGTTTTGTAAAAGGGCGTTTATGTGCACGTTAGATTGGTGAAAAGGCAAACAACTTTACTACTACATTCCCAACAAGGTGAAAGAAAACCTACCACGTCCGTTTGCACTCACGACACTCAAAGCAGCTACTCCATCTTGGTCAACGGTGCTATTCCCATTACACTGCTGCTGCTGCACGGTGCCAACCATCGAAGAGTTCCACCACGAGCATGCCGCTCGGCCTCCAACCGCAATCCCCCGAACCCATGAGAAATTGTCGCCGTTATAAACGTCACTCCTGCCAGGCGCGCCTCACAGAGGTGCCGGTGCGTGCGACTGTGTTGAGCCTGCCACCTGGCACCAGGTCCGCCAACGGAGGCGTTCTCCGCCCTTGAGGGGGAATCGCCACGTGCGTAATCTCCATCTCCTTCAGAGGTCCCATCAGAATCGTCCGCATTGCTCCAGCCGCTGGTGCTATCCACCGTGCTATCGGTCGTAGTCGTCGAGGTCGTGTCCGATGAGGACGAACGCCGTCTCTTCCGTTGGGGTTTGCGTTTTTTAGCCATCTGCCGATTTTTTATCACGCCTCCTTTTCCCTTCCCGCGCATGCGTCCAAGGCCTGAGAGTGGCGACGGCTCCTGGACGGGGCCTCCAGGTTTCTTCGCCACAAAGGCAGGCGTTAGCGGGTTGTCCAAGGTGATTGCGGCAAGTACGCCGACTCGGTATGCCATAGGCTGGAACAGCAGCTCGCCAGTACTGGAGGCACGGTTCGCCACCTCTACCACCTCCTCGCGTATGCGCTCGGCCAAGAAGTCGAGGAGCTGTTCCATCACCCGGAATGGCACGTGATTGGACGTGAAGGAGCGCGTGTTGCCCCACGCGGCGACGCGGCAGCACTCCACAAACCACAGTTTTGCCGCCACTTCGATGTCCGCCGCCAGAGCCATTTGAGAAATATGCCGGCCCCCTCTCTCTCTCTCTGACCTAACAAAGCCGCCGCACGCACGCTTCGCCTCCGCGTCAAGCACTTCTCTGATAGTTTGAGAACTTTCTCCAAGCTCTTCGGGGCTATCATTTTCCTGCACTGCCTCTGTGCCCTCCAGATACGTGCAGCAGTTTGGGAAAAGGCCACGTCGTATTGCCCAATCAAACATCTCGTAAGAGAGCTCAAAATTGGTTTCAGAGTCGTCGCGCCTCACGGCTGCATTTATTGTTTTATCTTTCTCAGTCTTCGATTGCCGCAATCTTGACTTAAATGTCGTGTGGAATCGCTTGATGGGTAGCAAAACGCTTTCCATCTCGTCACTTCCTCCCCCGACAATGGGAGTGACATACGCCGTGGCTTCGGCAGCGTAGTTGTCGTAGAGTAAAAAGAGCTTCATCCAACACGCGTAGAGCATTGAAAGTTGTGCCATCTCCGCGAGGGCATCCCACAGATGCCATGTCTTTAGCCGAGCATTGGGCAGCGTCGAACTTGTAACTCCGGCGCTACAATACTCTTCTCGTAGTGTCGCCGACTTTTTCCTCAACACAGGTATCAACGAACCCGCTATGGTGTCCAACGCGACAGTCGTGTTAAGGTCCGCGTGCGGAAGCTCCGCCTGCCAAACAGAGGGGATGAAGGATAGATGGGGCCATGTAAAGAGGGCTTCGGCTCTACGCGCCGCCGCCACTGCAACGGATACCTCCTGATGCGCGGGAGGGAAGGGTTCTAACAAACACCGCTGCGCTGGCTCTTGTCGAGCGTCAATTTTTTTCTGAGTAAGGGGAGGGTGTTGATTCTGTGCCACTACTACCGTTTCCATGATACATACCCACTGCGGTAGAAGTTTACGTAAGGCGTCAAGAACAGCCTCTCTATCGTCTAAAGTACCGTCCTGTAAATCGTCGCCGGCTCTTTCATAAACAAAAATGGTAGAAGATTGCAGCTTAACGCTGGCGAGGTATGTTTTGATAAAGCCTGGTGCCACAGATGATGGACATGTAGTTGGATGCGAAGCCCTCGCTGCATTTTGTGGTGTGGACATGAGACACACACTAAGTTTAACGAGGGTAGTGATATGGTATATAGATAAATGACCCTAGTGACTATGTATGTATGATTTACCCATTTTATTGTTTCTTTTATTATTCGAAGACACGTATATCGAAGACGATCCTATATGAGGAGAAACTCAAATAAAAGCCAAAGTTCTTGTCAGTGATCTATGAGACAGAGAAACGAGGGCCTGGGGAAGATAGACGCTACTTCATATGACAGTTCGTGCGTTATATACCGCTTCACTATTGACATAAAAAAAAATCAAACTGCTAGACATATGTGATAAGTTTATGCGATGTTATAAAAATGTAGGTTTAGCACCATTTAGAACGACTTCAAACATTCTTTAGACTTTGGTACCTTTTAACCATCCACCTTTACTTCAGATACGTGTTTTAATGTTAATCGACAGATTCCACCAAGATCTAACCAAAGGTCGAACAACATCAGGAACTTGCGGAGTCATCTTTCCACTCGGAATGGACTATGCAGACTTTCAATTTTAAGGAATGAATTGATGAATACTTTCGCTACGAGATAAAAGAATGGCCCAATTTTTTTCACAAAGTAAATACACCTTTTCTAGACATAGTTCCTCACTACTCAAAATAGAGTCGCTTTATGCAAACATCAAGGCAGACGAATTATGTCCCCGCTCCCGAAGTATAGCGGCCTCTAACTCATTTAGGATCATCTTCATGTCCAACTTCCGCTTCGACTCCGGCAACAAGGCGACTTGGCAACACACGTTAAAAGCTACCGTTCGGATCATCTTACCCGAAACCACAGAGTTACTCAAGGTATCAAAGTCAACGTCCCCAGCAAGCGGCACCTTGGCGGGGAAGGCCCTGGTCCACAATTCCTTACGGAGCTCGCAACTAGGTAAGTGAAATACGACATGCATATTAAATGCTAGACGTGATGCTTGGACATCAATCCAGGACGCGCTCTCACCTATCATTGCACCGACATCCCTTTCCGTGGATGTTCTCGTCGTAGCAATGACGATGACAGGCCTCGGGTACCGCATAGCGTAATACTGGATCATTTGCGAGATGCTGATGCTACGCTCACTATGATTGAAAAGGCTTTGCGCCTGGTCAAACACGACAATCGCTCCGAGACTGCGAGCTTCTTCGAAGACGGCGTGGATGTTGACCTCCTGGAGGAGCATGAGCTCGGCCAGGTTGCATAGGCGGATCGTGGCCCCACATTCAAAGGCGATGCCCTCGGCCGCAAGCGATTTACCTGCTCCACTGGGGCCGGAAAAAAGGTAAACCGCACCAATATTTTCGCACGCATCTTGGCTAAAGCCCCACTGCGAGAAGAGTGTACTTCGACTCTTGGCAAGTTTGGCAATTGTCTCGATCTGCCTCCGCGTTGAATCCTTCACAACAAGCTCAGACAAGACACACTTCGGGGTCACGTAAAGCTTGCTACTCGTCGCAGACGGCAACTGGGAAGCCAAAAAGAAACCACGGAGTTGCTGTTTAGCACCATCCTCAAGGTCTTCCATGGTGAGTGTAGGAGTCTCAGTCTTTTCGCGTGCGACAGCGTGCTGGAGGGCGGCTAGAACGGCATTCCGAATCAAACCGCCACTCAGTTCATAATTCAGTGCTAATCGATTTAGCCTGACGTCCTCGTGCAGCTGGATCCCAGATGGGATGTGGTGGCGCCAGATGGTCTCACGCATCTCATGCCCCGGCAGCTTGAATTCAATCATGAGAGAAATGCGGCGGTTCATGGCCTCATCCATGTTTTGAGCCTTGTTCGTGGCCATGATGACAAGCCCTTCGTACTTTTCAAAGTCCGAGAGCAACGAGGTCACAAGTGGATTGGCCTCACGACTCTCGAAAAGAGATTCGCACTCATCAAAAAAAATAATTGCATTATCGTTTAATCTGGCTTCTCGAAAAATGAAGTTCATCATCTCCGCCGCGTTCTTGTCGGCACGGAACTCCGATACAGTGACAAGGAGGATTTTCTTCTTCAGCTCATGCGCCACGGCGTTGGCCAACATTGTCTTCCCGGTACCACTTGGTCCGTAGAAAAGAATGACAAGACCGCTGGCACCAGGGCCAAGACCTCTTCCAAAGCCGCAGCCTACCTTACACCGCTCGAATAGACTGTAGTTCTCGATTGTAGAGAGAACGAGCTCAGTGGTTTGCGCCGGCAGTACCACGCTATTGATGGTCACCGTAGGGGAGTACAGCCTGGATCCCGGCACCATTTCCGCTGTCTCGGTCTCGGTCCCCATCAGATAGTCGACGATCTTCCGATCAATATCACAGACGTAGTCCATAAGGTCCGTGTTAAAGCGTGATTTGCAGCTTGTGTCCAGACTAAGCGAGAGGATATTGTTCGAAATTAGAGGCGACGATTTATAAAAAGACTTGCGCACCGCAATGCGCTCCTGCAAGTTCTCACATAGAACAAAGAGAATATACCCAACAGTGAGCACTCGCTGCCCGTCCCGCATCCCGTAGCGGCCGTTGATGGCGATTAGAATGTCATGCGACACGACATTGCCTACCATGAGCAGGAGGACCTGCTTCTCCAGCTCATTGAGGCCGAGACGCTGTGAAAGTTGCTCAATACGAGGTAAGTAACCATGACCCTTTACATGCTGCTCAAGCGTAGCCTGCACACGACGTTTGTGGACTGACATCCACACCCGCTGACGCCCCTTAAGCTCTCGCAGAGTGGCCTCAAGCTTGGTTTTGGGCTGGTAACAGTCTTCGTCATCCTTGATGTCACCTTCAGCAGTGCGGATGCGTATAAATGTGGCGATCAAGTTGAAGGCGGACTCCATATATTCAAAGTCAGTCTTATACGTGGATAAGTTTGTACCGGTGGCGAATTCCTCACCGTCTCCTCCAGGCGCACACATCGGTGATACTCCGACATGTGAAGGCCCACTTCGATTGTCACCCTTCGAGACGCCTTTCTCCAGGTCTCCTTCCAGGTCCTCATCACGATCTGGAGCATAGTTCTCCCGGTTCCCAAGCCTAGTTATGTCATTAACTTCAACACCACGGAGAGGCGCGGCTGTCGAATTCAGCCCTGATGTTAAATCACGTAGAGAAAGATCCACTACGTCGTCTCCGTCTTCATCCGCACTGGCGTCGCTGGAGGACACACTTCCTGTATCGCGACTGCTGCCACAGGGGCCATCCTCCTGACGAGGAGCCGTTCGGTGGGGAAAGAGGCTGCTGCCAGCGTGTAGCTGATCGTCACAGGGACGCTTCCGCCTCTTTGCATCTGAGCACACCGTTTTCTTAATACCAGTGGTAAAAACTGTTGTCATATCAGTGGTCCGCTCCTGCTGCCGTCGCTCTTCGTTGAGGACTTCAGCTAGAGCAGTGCGCTCGAGCTTGATCAGCTGTTCCTCGGTGAGGTCGTCACCAGTTAGGGCCGTGACCACTTCTTGCGGCATTGCCACGTGGCTGTCAATAAAGCTGCTCCGCTGACGTGCGTCGGACGTGATGAGACCTTGCTTCATGTGCGGACGATGCTCGTTTAAGAACCACATGAGTTCCTTCGGTGTGAGGTTCATCTGGTGAGCCATTGTCAACGGGGTCTGCGGAGCATTGATTGAAGCACACAGCATCGCTCCGCAGTGGCATAGCAGCAGAAACGTCAGAGTATCAACCTCCTTCGCACTAAGGTGGAGGCGTGAGCCTACCCGCTGCACACGCGGCCTGAGGCTCATGAGAGCTAGGCGGCAGCGGGTATGGTGTCTAACGATACCAGTAATGGCTTGGATACACGGTACGACCTGTTCGAGGAGGTTTAACCCTGATTTATGCGCTAACGCGAAGAAGCTGGTCGTGAATTTGCCGTGGTTTGCTGATCTGGACCAGTGATCCATAACAAAGGTGGCATCTTTAGCCATTAAGTAGGCGTTGTCGTCAGGGAAAGCCGAAAGATACAGAGAAGCAACCTCGTTTGAAAGCAACCGCATTAATCGGTTAAGCTTATCAACATCATAGTGTGAACGGCAAGACTCTGTGAGATGTTTTAGCAGTCGATCAAAATCCTCCCCAGCCGGCGGCCAAGAACGTCTCTCGCTGCCTGTGATTGGATCAAAACCTCCATTGTCACTTGACTTTCTGCGCGTCGAAAGATTATCCACTTCCTCGCTGCAACACTTATTCGAGCCGCTACAGGGATCCCTGGAGTTGCATAAACACCCTTGGACAGCATCTTGTGCAGGAACGTCTTCTAGTGTATGCGACGCGAAATATGGGAAAACCGTCATCGGAAAGGCAACCACTTTCATTAGCCGCATCTGTGCCTCCAGCTTCTCTTTCAATTCTTGTGGAGTTTGGAGGAATGAACCGGAATAAGTCCTATTATATAGTGCATCTGAGACAGGAGATCCTGACTGTTGTTGTTGTTGTAAGCCGGTGGTTGAGATTCGGGCAAAATGAGAATTCGGGCCACTTGCATTGGGTTCCAGAGTTGCTTCGCCTGCTGCATATTCCTCTCCAGATCGTCCTATAGTCTCAACACAACAACGCTGGATGGCCAAATCCTTGCTTTCACCATTATCCCAACGGTTGCAGTTGTTCATGCCTCCTCCTGTATGGCCTTGTGGTGAAATGTAATTGGGGTTCACTAAAGTGTTTGAGGTTGGCATGATGCCGACGACGGGGCTGATGAAACCCTCGGTCTCCAGGCGAACAGTTTCATGCATGTCATCAGGGGTGCACTTCATCCCGTTTACACACCTAAGGGTGCTGTTGGGGCGCATGTGGTAGACGAAAAACTCCAACAACGGTGTAAATAGGTCTAAGTATTGCTGTGGACGCTCCCGAAAGCACCCATGTTGAAGCAAACTCTCCACTGACGTGCCGTCCAGAGCAACCAAGGGGATGCTGTTTAAGGGCTCTACATCGTGTGCACCTAGACTCGAATTTGTCAACAATCGAACAGTATATTGTCTACTATTTTGCATAGTCAGGTCAGCTATTTCATTTTTAAGCAGTAGATTTGACTCCGGTTGAATTTGTTCACCATTAGGCACACTTGGAATCAATGGCTTCTTATCAGAGATTGATTTAGATGTTTTTGATGAACGCGGCATTAGATAGACAAAATCTAACCAGAAAAATAATAGCCCCAGAAAAAAAAGGAAAAAACGAAGGCTCATTAAATTAATCTCGAATTAAAAGTATGGACAGAAAGACATTTGTTGAAACGATCACCGGGCAAATCCCGCGCGCACGCACGCACAGATCTAAGGTGGGAGGCGGATTTGAACACACTTATGGAAAGAAAAGAAGAATATAATGGAAGCTAATTGATTAGTGCGAACCTCTCATGAGCGTGTATTCATAAACCAATGAATGCTCATTTTGAAGTTCGTTTATCTAGCCGAGTCTTCACACCACGGAAAAAATATTAGTAAGGGCATTCGACTGTAGAATGCCCAGAAATACCGCACTTAACGCACCCTTGGCGTATCCAATCCTCCCCACATCCCACGAAAGTCTCACTACCTGTTGCCGGACGAGATACCGAGCCCTGTTCACGCGGTGGGCCGGCGCCGCACTCGCCCCCACTGCCAAAGGATGCCCTCGCGTTTCCCAACATGTATTGGGACGTCGTGATCGGTGCGATGGGTGCGCTGTGTGTCATGATGAGGGGTACCACCCCAAGCGCTCGCACCACCTGCGACACGCACAGCTGCTGATCGTAATTTAACTCGGCCCATCGGATGGCCAGCACAGGCCACCCGCTTGCCTCGTCACTGGCAGGCCTCACCAAGGCTTCGCTCAGCCGCCGAACATACACTAGAATAGAACCCACATAGTGGGGCTGGAGTAGCAACAAAGGATTCTCGTTCGGGCTCACGCCCGCCAACGCGTCACCAGCACCAGCCTTGTCACTACCGTCGCCCACATAAGAGCTGCCCTTGCACCCTCTGTACAGGTTCAGCCGCTCCCGCTCAGTCTTTTCGACGTCGTCGGGCAACCGGTTCAGAAATCCAAAACGCCACTGCCGCGTGGCACCATCCCATGATACGACCTCGGCCATCGGAATCGGCAATAGCGGCTCCACGTTTTCCGGGGTGGACTTTGGCACGGTGCTGCCGTGGCTGTCCTTCAGATCCCTGACATCCCCCCCCCAGCCGTTACGGCAAAGCAGTGTCATGATTTTCACTAGGCATGGCCAGACCACCTCTTGATAGTGCCGCGTCAGCACTCTCGTGAGCTGCTCTGCGCTCAACGATTGGGGAGGCGATGGGCCACCCCCGTCTGAGCCCACGAGCTGCACGACCGAGCCACCCATGCTCGCTACCCCCTCCCCCAGTGAGAATGAAGTGCCCCCTGCATTGCCCGTACCGCCGGGCTGCCCGTCAGCGTCCGGCACTCCCTCCTTTTGCAAGGGAAGCCAGAAGAATAGAAAGAAGACAAGAAAATGGCTAAGAGCAATCCTTTGTGGCATTTCAAAACGCCACCCGCGGATGGAAAACTGAATACGGTGATGCTCCGGCAGCAAGGCTCGCACAGGGAGAGAACCCAGACCTAGGCAGTGCGTCTGTAAGCACCCCATAGCCTCAGTGGGAGAACCACCACTAAGAAGGTCATCACCCATGTGTTCCTCCCAATGACTTTTGAGGTATTGTAGCACGTCGGCTACCGTCCACAGAGGCGTGTTGAAGGCCAAGCGGCTCATGCCTTTATTTATTCTTCATTTTGAGTTCAAAATACAGGGAGAGATGCCAATACAGTAGCAATGCATGAAAAGAGCTCCATGGTTGATGAAATTTAAGCACTACCTCGGACTGACTACAACACCCTTCAACTCATATGAATGGGAGCACGCATTTTCGGCACGAGATAAAATAATTGCGACACATCCCTCGCTCATAATTAGCATAAAACGAATTTAGTAATAAGAAATAGATGCGCTAAAGTTTTTATGTAAGAATTTCTTAGTATGATAAAAATATTAGAACTATTCTGATGTTATCTTCCATTTTAAAAATGATTTCCTAGCATATCACTACCATTTTAATCACTATTAACATGCACTGAGTAACTTCTAGTCACATCCAGAGTTGTTAGCTGCTAACCATCTTGTCGTTAGGGTCGTTATTTTTGTAGACACTGCATCAACAGCATTTTTTTATGGTACGTTATGTACGCTGCCTGGCACGTTGATGCACCGTTCTCGGCGCGGCGAGCCTCGTCCCCCTTTTTCTGCTCCACTGAACTGTCTAATGAGGTACAGATCGGACTATTCTTACGGGAGACTCGCTCGCATGCACTTCCAGATTTCCCCCTTGCTTTGCTAACCGGACTGATGTCGTGTTGCACGACGTGCTGAATAAATTTACTCAGCACAGATGGATCCTTGTCCATCTTCATTAAGTTTTCCGTAGCCTCGCTTGTCGGTGAATTGCTCACCATCACGCCAGCTTCCCTGTGCTCGGCTGCGCCGACAGCGCAGGGCGCTGCGCTATCTTCGGTAGTCTTCATATTATTCCGCGTGGCCGCCTCAAGGGTTGCGCGGTGGCCGAAGACAATGCACAGCTCCCTCGCACGCGTCAGCGAGACGTCGATGCGATGCCAACTGTTCAAGAAGCCGATTCCACCTGAGAACACCCCCGGGTACACATCAGCCGGGGATTCGAATTCCGACGCCGCACCCATTGGAGCAGTCTCACTTTCACTTGTGGGTTTGCCCCTCGATCCCTTTCTAAATGCATTCGGATCCGTATCAGCGCGCACACAGCTGATAAGAATAATATCCTTTTCTTTGCCTTGAAAGCTGTCTACAGTTGCGATCTGTATCCCACTGCGCCTCTCCTCAATCGTCAGAACCTCCTGGATGGCATCCCGTTGTGCTATGTAATATGTTATGATGCCAACATGCTGGGGAAACTCCCCTATAGTGAGCCTCAAATAGTTTCGGATTTGGCGCATTGATTGCACAACAGCCACCGCTTCGCATGTATTACGCCAGGAGTTCCCACGCCCCCGCTGCATGACGCCATCTGGGACGTCGATAAAGGCTAAACGTGCGATCGACCCCAGTTTTTGCGCAACCGTTTTCTTATCCCAAGGAAGAGACTGCTGTGGCGTCGTTAGGCTGTCGCCATGCTCCCCTGCTTCTCTGTGTGAGGATGAACACCCCTCACTCTGGCGCTGCAACACCGAGGAGTCAGTCCGCAGCTTGTTCGCATAGAAGTAGCGGTTTGGGAAGGCGCAAATGTCGGGATGCATGCGATACTGAGTGCACAGGAGATGAGATGAGTAGCCATTGCGCAACAGCCTTTCTAGCAGGCTACGTTGTAGCCCACAACGTGCGGACTCCGGGTGCAAGACAGTTGGCTGCAACTGCTTCCAGTCCCCAACCAAGATACACATACCCTTCGCGGACATAAGGGCTGGTAAAATACTGGGCTCGGTGGCCTGCGAGACCTCGTCGACAATGACCACATCGAAGCGAATATTCAGCCGCAGGAGTTGGTGGATAGAGCCAAGGGTGGTGAAGATGACATTAGAGTCTTTGATGATCTCGTCACGAGAGGAATCCTTGCGATTCAAGGGATCGCGCCTTGAAGAGCAAGCCTCTTTGGATAACGTTTCTTCAGATGGACACCCAGCACTTATTTGAGTGAGCTTGTCGTCCAGAAACAAGAACGGGCGATGCCTGAGGACGTACTCCGAGATGTTCTGCCGTATGCCAATACGTAGCAGCTGCGCTTGTGCCGCAAAAGTGGTCTTGTCCGGCGGCAGCCCAGAGAATTTATCACCACAGAGGAGCTTCTGGAGGCTCAAGACACGTAGTAGGGCCTCATCGACAGCGCTGTTGGACGGCCCACAAAGCAAGATGCGGCTATTGAGAGGCAAATAGTGCAGAAAATTTAATATAAGCATCGATAAAGTCTGGGTTTTGCCGGTACCCGGCGGTCCTTCGATGATGTGAATCTCTGGTGCTGGAACACTCCGTCGATCCCTGTTCTGAGAAATACCGCTTGCTGCGTCCACCGTATGTTTATCACCCCCGGCGTCGACTCCAAGGAGACTCTTACCGCACCACAATGGATGCACCGCGTGCAAGGCCGCTGCCACTGCCTTTGCCTGACATTCGTTAAGAAGACGCGGCATAAGCAACCGGCTCTGTATGTCGTTCATCACATCTGGCTCGGAAAAGTACTTTTCCATCAAATCGTGGTAGTCCCGGCTGACAACCGAGGTGCCCCGCGGATCGTACAGCATGGGCGAGAAGTGCGTTCTGGAGATTCTGAAGAGTGAACTGACAGCCGCGATCGTGGGGTTCATGGAGCTTACCCACCTAATGTACAACGTATCAGTGGAGGGCCTGATGCCCAGACGTAAGGCATGCACAAAGGGTAAAAGATTGGCTACTGACGGTGGCGATTCACCTGTTCTCGTTATGCTCTGGCATTCACGCCCCCTACCAGCAGACAATGTGTTACCATACAAACCCTGCTGAGTGGCCCCTGCAGTGGTTTGCTGAGGGTAGCAAGCCAGAGTCAACATCCGTTCCTTCTGGCGTGCAAGATGGACGTAGCACACCTGTGGAAAGCAGCCAAATATGCGCCAGATCTCCGGGATACAGTTCAGAACCTCATCGGCATCCTTTATGCAGGACTCATCCTCCGTTACCTCAGCACCACGTCCAGTGCGACGCCGAGCCCGCCACCTCAGCCACGCATCGAGCACTACGGTTAGAGGCAAAAGCACTAGCACTATATCATCGTCACCAAATTGCCTTATGCTTGGACTGCTTAGATTATCTTTGATAATAACGGTGAAATTTATCTTTCCGGGGTCTAGCGGGTCTGATTCTATGGAACCAATTCGCAATGCACGCACCGCCTCTTCATCTACCCATTTACTGAGCGGGAAGCGTTTCAAAAGATACTGAGAGAGCCCCTTTTCAGTGTTCGCTCGCACTTCATACTTTGGGTCACACCCTTTTAGGGAATGCGCACCACAATTCTGACTGCGATGGGTGCCACTCTTCGTAGTCCACACGTACCCCTTCTTGGATGCGGCGTCCATCAGTTTATTCACATCAGCGACGATCCCGCAGCGTACCTCGAGCGCCACATGCGGCACGAAACTGCGCACATACGACCATGCAGCCCGATGGTTCACGTGATGATGCGCTGCCCGAGACAATGAATATGTTCCGGAATTGGAGCTGTCATCTTTGTCTGTTGCCTCAGTACTGGGCATGTACACTTCCGGCAACGTTGGCACATTCGCCGCTAGGCAATGCGTTGCTTGCCCAATAATGTCATTTACCCGAGGGTGCCGATTCAGAATTGATGTGCGACCGACGATACCCCGCATCGCGTTCATGATCTCTTTCTCATACTCGTTGAAGCGTACCTTCTGTCCCTCGTAATTATTCATAGCCTGAAGCTTGCGTTGCCGGGTAGTTTGTTCCGCCACAACGGTACGTGTGGAAGAAGTCCGGTCACTGAGTACCTTCGCTGGATTCTCTGTTGGATTGAATGCTACCAACAAGGACCTGGTGTCTCCCATGGGCAAGCTACACGGTAGCACGGTGGGACCCTCCACACTCACCACAGAGGAGGAGGAAGAATCATAGCCGCTATCATCCTCCATCCACGGTGGCTTGCGTGGTCTCTTCCTCCCGGCAACAATGTATTGAGCGTAGCTGTTAGTGCTTTTATCTTTTGACAATGTCAAGGCACTTGCTGTGTTTATTTCTTCGACCCGCATTCGCTCTAATTGTTGCCGTACCTTTGAGTCATTTGCCACTTGCTCCGTTTTAGCCTCACTTATTATTGCTATTTGCTTTTCTTGCCATTCAAACTGTTTAAAGGACCTTCTTTCCTCGTTCTGGCAAGCATCTATAACACATGTCGCAGACTTGATGATGCGAGTCAACCATTTGGGTGCGTATTGGTCTAGTGTTTGACGACTTTCTTTTAGTAAATAGCGATCTAGGAGGGCTACCATGGGCCGTTTCGCTGCGTTAGACAACTGTGTGTCTGCCTCAGCCTTACCATTTGGAAGCACGCTTGAGACGTGCAATAGCGCACTAAGAAGAGTATCTTGTGAGTAAGCTGCATGCTTTTCGATTAGACATAGAAAGAGATGCCTCACGATCTCATAAAGCTTGACTGCATCACGGGGAAGATGCAAAAACGGCGGCTGTGGTAGTTCCATAATGACTTGTTTCAACAGTGTCACTCTTTCGTCTGTGTCCAGAGTCACAACGTCAGCAAGCAGAGAGGCCATCCACCATGCCGACGCCACTGTTCGACACCAAAAAAACGTAGGTGAGCATGACGGACTGCAGTCTCTGTTCTCCGTTCGCATAGAGCACCAATTACATGCTCTCAAGACACGCAACCACTGTCTACCCTGCTGCCTCGCAAGATTGTCTACCCTCGCGTTGTGAAGCTGGAGCCAAGTCTCACTGTGCACAAACCCCATCAAGGCCTCCTGATGTAGAAGTACGTCCTGCCACATCCATTGAGCGGCGTCAGATGCGAAGGTCAGCCGCGCAGTTGGCCCAAGGTTATCAAGAAAAATCGTATTAAGTAACTCTGCGAGGTGCCGCAGTTGGGAACTCTGGGCATATTGTAAGCGGCACACCAGCCGCGGGATGTCGAGACCAGAGGTAAGCAGACGTGAAAGAGCTGCAGAAGGGTCACCAGCGGCCCATTTTTCCCTAATACCTCGCCCATGCATTTCAAAGAACTCTAAGAGCTGCGCGATAAAATTTTTTAGAGCCCATCCCAGTGGCTGTGGCCAGTTGGGGTCATCAGGCAAGAGTAACAACCACTGACTACACTGCGCGACCGACATTGGGATATTCACAAAGACATGAAGCACCCCGACAAGTTGCTCTAGCACGTGCGGGAAGCTCTTCAAGCGGTCACCTCTCAATACCTGTTTTAACACAGCTGGATAGTTTGTCCATGCACGCTGTAGGCACGACAATGGTTTATTTTTCATTGTGACCTTGGTAGCACTTGTACACACGTCACTTAACACCCTTTTCAAAGCAGGTAGTCTGCTGACTGCCTGCTCATCCCACAGCCAAATGTGACCTGAATCACTAAAGGCCAATAGATCTGCCTGAAGCAAGAACTCGAACAGGTAAATAGCATGTGAGCTACCGTGTCGAAGAACACCGCCGACCGCCAACGCGTTTACCGCCTGTTCATGCTTTTCAAGTATGCTATGGAAAAAATTCGAGGCCACAACATCGGGCATCGCCTTGATTAGACTGTGAAAGAGAAAATAATAAGAATGCAAGGTACACTCCAACATGGTAGACTGTGTTGACCTGTCCTTATTGGATGAGATGTGTGTAGCGATAGTGGGGTGCGTTCGTGCCTCCGCCACGACCTCATCCACGCGCCACTGTATGTGGGCGTTTTTTAGGAGTGGCCCCAAAAGCCAATACAGACACGTCCGCTGAGACGTAGTCGTGGCAGTCTCCAGGACAGCACCTCCACTAAATGTAGCACCAAATTCGTCAACCGTTCCAAAATTGGTGGTAGAAGGTGAGTCGAGGGCACCTGCTAGCCACCAGCAGCTGTTCAATCGCTTTACACGCCAATCCAATTCTTCCTTGCATACTGAGGGCGAGACTGACATTGTTGAGGAGGCTCTTGGCTCTCGCGCGTACTCCAACAGTACGTGGATTATCACCTTAGCAATCGACTTCTTCACTTGTATGGTGAGAGAGGCAGGCTCCAGAGTTCGATCATGTCGAAGCCCATTGTTGAGGCCCTCTATAAGCTCCTGCATGGCTCTAAAGTGCACTAAACGAGAGACCTCTTCTTCCCTTATTTCGTTGTCATAACCTGCTATGCACTGTAACAGGGAAGATGAGAAGCTGGAAAATACACCCTTCACTAGGTCTTCGTGGGCGTTGAAGAGCCATTCAAGACTCATGGAGCCTCCCAGTAGTAGAACAGTGACGGGATGCGGGAGCTGCGGAAGATGATTGCTAGTAGTCTCCCGCAATAAAGTAGACCTGTCGCTGGTTATTTTGGTAATACGTTGATCCAGGGCAGTCAGAACTACGAAGAGGTGATAGATACCCTCCGTCATTATCCTTGTTATCTCCGCCGAATGAGGGGATATTTCGTGTGGAGGAAGGGAAGAAACATGTAGATTGCCTTGGAGGAGCAGAAAGCGGACCTGCGTGAGATGCTTAAGGGCACATAAGAGCTCCAAGCTTAGCCGCCAAAGTCTCTGCAGACGATGCTCTATCAAGGTCCTCTCCATGCATTTTGAATCAAGTAACTTTTGTGATGGATGCTCCAGCGGAGAAGAGGCGCGTGCCCTACCACTGTTGTGTCTGTTGACATCAAGTTTCGGACGAGTGTCTGGCGACAACTCCGACATTACAGCATGCGTTGGCACTAAGGAAGATTCCAACGGCAACGATACTGCCCCATGGGGCTTGCAAGATGTATATGGGTTCAAAGAAACAGGAGCGACAGTGGAAGCGTGATCCACACAAGCCAATAAAGCTTCGCGTGCCCGTATACGCACTTCTATATGTCGATGAAACAGCAACAGCACTAACGCCGGACAAAAGGTACCTACTTTCTGACGCCTCTGCTCCAGTGCCGTAAAGCTGGAGGGGAACGACGACATCCAAGATGAGTTCGTGGCTACGCCCTTGTCATCCACCACAACCTGAGATGCGGGAGGTTCGTGCAGCACAACGTGCCCAAGCGCGTGTTGCACAAGCCCCTGCGAGAGAAAGTTTAACTTAATCCCATTTGCCGAATGCACACCATGGCACAACCACTCAACGCAACGTAAAACAGCCATCTCCCATGGCTTTGTCTCAACTTTCCGATTAGTAACCTCTTCATGCATTGCTTCATCCCAAATCGAGGCCACAGTCGTCTCCGTGAAGGATGGCCCCATTGCACTAAGGGCAAAGTTCAATTGGCACACCTGCCGATCTCTCTCTACATCCTCGACATCGTCCATGGCATCGCCGACAGTGGTGCTTTCCTGTCGTGCATTAGTACCATCGTGGATTCGTTGTTCACATGCCTTGTTACTATTGTTACTAGCTTTCAGCCACTGATTAAAGTATGCAATATAGGTGGATGTAGCAGTAACCTTATAAGTGTTCCCACCGGAGTTAGGTTCAAGTGTTGGCCATTTACCAAAGACATTCGCATCAGACATATTTTCTACCTGGGGTTCTCTTGTCTTCTAATGATTGCTGTTATCAGAAGCCAAACTTGATCTGATAGACAACAGGACACTATTCACGAGAAAAGGTTGGCTTCTAGGTTCCTGTCTCATGAAAAAAAATGTGTAGATGCCGATCTCAATGTTTATTTTTAATATTTACGAATTTAATTAGACAAAGGAGTGAGTTACGCGTTACACGTTGCTCTCAATTATTGTTACTATAATGAAGACTTGACAATGCGTATTTTATTTTTATTTCAATTAAGTTTAATAAATAATAATAATAATAATAATAATCGGTGCTGAATAGATTGAGACGTGCTACGCAAACTCATGAAAGTCCTCAGAAACAAATGTATAAAAAATCGCAAACGGTAAGATAATCCGACAAAGGAAAACCCCCCTAGCAAAGGCAACTAAGTTGTATATGAGGAGATCAGAGCTGCGAAAAAATTATCCGGAAAATAAGAGCTATATAGATGATGCTATGTTCCCACTGGGAGCTTTTACACCGATGAGGAATAAAGCAGTGCAACGCAGCAAGAAGAAGGTGAGGTAAGAAGGTCAGGAACGAACTGAGAACATATACAAACCGGAAAGCTCCACATGATAGTAATAATCATTGTTATTGTCGATAGAAATTATTAAATTAGATTATACCCTTTTACGCTACATGTCTCTCTTACTGATCCAAGGAAGGAGGAGATCCGTGTAAACGACAGCGCATTCGATTTTACGCATCAACGTTCAATCTATCCACACATTTTCCCAATATCTTGAAGGCTGGTGTCACCCATGCCCCACATGAGCACCGTGTTCCCGCCCACGATTGTGTCCCTAACTTGACGCGGCAGGCAGGGTTAGGACAGTAAAGTGTATCTGGTGCTACCGCCTCACCAAAGGCTGTCGCGTCACGGCTTTCTTTTGCTACCCATGGGGTTATGTCTGGGTCTAAAAAGTAGCTGGTGCATAGCCTTTCCTCTCCTACACCATTTCGATCAGGGACAGGTATTCGTCGGAATGGATGTTGTCCCGCTTCTTCTGCCTTAGGAAAATGCTGTAACACTTCGCTTTCATAAAAGAGCACCGTTCTGCAGAGACGGCATGAGTACACGCAATTCTTAGAAATATGATTGATCTTTTCCTTGATAGAACGATTCTCATTGTCTTGCGAGGAGGATACCGCTGATTGTGACTCCGGTATTGAGAATTCAACTTCAGCTTCTTCCATCCCACGTCTTGATGTTCCCCTGATTGTGCCCCTAAAGTGCTACGCTGGCGCAAATCAAGGGACTTAGACAATAAACAGATCAATACAACTACGGAAAGGAGGGAGGGGGGGGGGGGAGTAGATTAAAAACACCCCTTTAAAAAGGCAGTGATTCCTCGCGATATTTTTGTGAGAGTAGTTTGTAGTTACATGATAAAAAGAAAGATGTGGAAATGATACAAAGAGAAATGATACCAACATCTGGATCAATCCATCAACCAATCAATCAGAAGATAGAACTTTGCTGATAAACAATAAATATATATTTGTTTACCTTCTTCCACTCCGCGTTCGCGAAGTCTAATATTACTAGTTTTTTAGTGCCAGGTTGGAGAAGAAGATACTTAACAAACGCCAACGCACACCTCAACTTAATCGAGAGTGAAAAGGGAAAAGTCACAGTTTTTAAGACCGCGATGATATAATCCCCTGATCACCATATAACATTCTTGATCATGTAAGGATAACGTGTATCAAACAGTGTATTGCAGTCGCCGTTCGTAGCCATCAATAAACACGAGAAACTCTTCCACGACTTTTGTGACTTGCTTAATTACGTCTAGTAAGCACTTTTGGATCCGTAATGTTGTTGGGGTTGTCGTAATTGCACCTTTTGCTGCGTCGCTGCGGTTTGCACAACACAGTGATGCCATCTGCGGGAAGTGAACTAAAAAACGTACTAAATAGCTATAGTGCACGTACGCCGAGGGACTCCAGTCACTGTAACCTACCTCTAAAGTCTTAGAATTGGAGCTTTCGTCTCTCTCTTCGTACTCAGTGGAACCATAGTGATGTGGATCTGTGTTATCGCCACTTCCTGGGATTTCGAGACGTTGTCTTTTGCCCTCCCGCAAAGGGCTCAAAATGGTATCTACAGCGCGCTCGGCAGACCATGCATGCAACTCCGCAGCCTCTATTTCATACAAGAATGCAAATGGCAGTAAACGATTGAATTCCCGACCGACAATATCCAGTACACGCGTGTACACCGCCTCGTCCTCCACACTGTACTGAAAAACGTTCTCAAAGTCGGATCGCGAACGTTGCTTATGGTAGAAGTCCTTGACGGATTTCACGAAGGCATTCAGCACTGCTTGTGCACTCATGTGATCCTCAATAAGCAAGTCATCAGCGCTGCCATTTTCGCCATCATCTTTACTTGGTCTGATGATCGCTGCATCATTGGCATCGTTTAGTATCGAGCCCATGATTGCTTCTACGCCAGGGCTTGGGGGATCTCGCAGAAAAGGTATCCATACGCGTTTCCCTACTAGTCGGAGTCCGATTCGCTCGCGAAGAAGGTAATCAACCACAATTCGCCTGCGAAGGTGATCTGGAATGTGCAGCGAGGGTTGCAGGGGCGATGGCTTTATGTCTGGCCTGACACCCTCGCATGTGTGCACCAGCAACGGTTGGGGTAAAATCTCGGCCCACTTGAGTGTCTTTTTTTTATTGTTATCAAGACCCCTCGATGTCGTTGCAATGGGTTCCATGGTCGCGTTACCTTCCGCGGCAAGTTGACCCCAGCTACCACGATGCTTCGGCGCATTCTCCTCGGTCGCCAGTGGATGCTGGGTCTGGTGCTCCTCCATGGATAAGGAAGAAGGCTCAGAGACTGCATCACTTGAGTCTGTATCTTTACTTAGATGGTTGTCGCCACCTGCAACATTGCCTTCAGAAGGACAGTAGCGTTCAGTTCCGGTTTGAGTTCCACGGAGCCCTGGCTCGTGACGCAGTACGAATTCGTCTATTCGCTGGTGCGCGAACTTTTGGAAGGACCGCGCTAAGTTTACCCAACTCTCAATCTGCTCGTTGAATCGGATGCAGTTGCTTACAATGAGTTCAACATCCTCTCGGAGAGAGGACAGTGAGTCTGCGATCGTTGGACCAAAACATGCAGCCTCTGAGATAGCATTAGTGGTATCCTGAGAATGCGCATCGGATACCCCAGTGGCAGTTCGGGTATAGTAGCCAGCCTGTGCACGCTCCTTTGCTATCCTGAGATTCATTGGGTTCGGGCAAATTGCATTATAGCTTTCTCGAAGCTCTGGATAAGTTGCTGCGACATCGACAACGAAAGCCCCTGCGTCATCGCGCCTCACGAGGGAGTTAACGAGACTCACCACATCACGATTGGTGAAAGATTGGTGGTTTGATGATGGGCCTCTCCGCGATGCAGAGAATTGTTTTTGTGGTTGTTGCCACTGTTGCTGAAGTCGCAGAGATGACATGCGTCGACCACAAGTTTTACTTTGGATATATTCGTCCAATTTTTGGTTGAAAAAGCTTTCAAAGCTCTCCGCTGTTTCAGCCAGAGGACTTTCACTACCGTTGAAGCGCACGCAGTTATTCACCATTAGTTGCAGATCACTTCTTAGCTCTAACAGGCTGGGGCTGTAACTGTAGTTACCATCGAGGGCCTTGGCAGCAGCCGTGGCGAGATCGCAACGTTGGGGGCACACCTTCGTGTAGGACTCAGCCAGATAGGGATACGTGAGAAGCACGTCCTGAGCAAAGATGTGGTGATCTTCGTCGCGGTTTAGAGAGCGGATCAGAGCGGCGAGCTCCTCCTCAGGGTAATATTTTATACCCTTAGCTGTGTCTGTGTCAGGGACCCTATTGCTTTGTCTTTTTTTGTTATTCATCTTCAATCCCAAAAGAGGCTAATCTAATTTTGCTATTATTATTGATCGTAGTTCCTTGTCTATGCTTCGTTATTGGTATGGATGCGAAATTGACTCTTCTAAAAGTAATGATAACAAAATTTGTCAGTGTACCTGTCCTCAAAAGGATGGGGACTTTTGGAAAGAGTACTTTGAATAAACAGACGGGTGGAGAAAAGAATTGGGATTATTTAGCCCCATAAGAATCACTTTACAAATAGGTTTACATAGTTTTAAATACTTCTCGGTCGTTTCTGTTGTAATCAAAACGCTTAAAAAAAAAAGCATTGCTACAAAACAGAAGACTTCCTTCCAACTCTTCAAGTTTTGGAAGCCTATAGCATAGTTGAAAATTTTTGAAGAAGTCACAAGAAAACAAGCTACGTTATATTATCGACTAGCGCGCTATGCCAAGCAAGTTAGCATAGGAGCATACGAGAGAACATGGCGTAGTCATGCCGGTTTGTAAGGAAAAGGGCTTCATTTTTTTTGTACGTGTAGCTTGATTTTCTGAGATACCTCCCATTCCATTATTGCCATCGCGTATTGCTTTAACAATCGAAGAAAAAATGAGACGAGTCAGATGAGTCTTTCATGTTGGCCCGAGTAGAGCTGACCGACCCCAACTTTACGCAAGCTCCCCTCTGGTATGACATACAGTTGCAACGGATGTTTTTCTTGAGGTATGTATCGTTTCATTAGGAAGGAATTCTCTTCGAATACTGACGTATCCATGCATCAGTTTTGCGCTTTGTCACCTCATAAACGACCATTGTGACACCGAAAATCGGGCCTGCCTTAATCAATGCAGCGCCAAGTCCACAATAAAGCTTTCTGGTGTCGGTACATAGTTCATACAAAAGGTGCTCCTGACGTGCCTGGACAAGTGTTTTGATGGTGTCAAGAGGATATAGCAGAGTCCAGGTTATCATAGCTGCCGTTGCCCCAGGTAGAAATGCCGCGAAGTTATTGTTGCTGAAGAAAAGCCAGTGCCGCTTGAGCGTGTCGTACAATCCAAGGAAGGTCCCGGCAAAGCACACGTCCTTAAGCAAATGGTGCCTGAAGCCGCGATAGAAGCCTCTCATCCCCTCTAAGATAAATATTTGGCGAGCAGAAGTCAACGAATTACGACTCTGTGCTCGGGTTATGTTTTGTGTCTGTATCTTGATCACATGCAGTGGGCATCCAATTAGGGTGCCAGCCCCCCCGGCAATTGCGCCAGACAGGAATGGGTTGCCCATAAGCCACGACACCTCAATACCATGGGGCTGGGAGGGCGAAGGTGAAGCCTCATCGCGGGGATTTGCGCGGAGAGCATCCCACAGTGCGAACTGGATGCTTCGCTTCGTGCCCACCATGATCAATGGCGGTGTGACCCCTCGATACAAGCAACGCCATCCCTCATGACGTGCCATGCCTAGGATTGTCGGAAAGATGGAGACACCAGCACGAGGACCTCTCGCCTGCATCCGCGTTTTGACGGTGTCTAAAGGGTGACCTATAAGAATGCTTGTTGCACCTTGAGCCGCACCAGGCAGTAGAAATATGAATTTCATTAATACGTTATCATATATAGTTCTAATGTCTACCACCATAGGATAGGTAGAAGTCATCATCTCCATCTCTATTTATCTCTTGTCGAAGTTCTTATTGTATTATTGCTCCTACGTATAGAGAAAGGTCTATTTGCATGATATATTATATGCAAGTGTCGATGCAAGGTCGAACAAAACCCATGAATCCGACACAACTATCCCACACACAGTACGGTGCAGCAGATTAAAATGAACCAATAAAGTGTTTTTCTGCATGAGATGCGCACATAAGGCGAATATGAGATGAGAGATACTGATGTGCAGCCCCCCCCTCCCCCTCCATATTCACGCTCAAGGCACATGAAGCCATAGCATATGTCAACAAATATTTTGAGAAGAACAGATCGAAAACCGCACTATTTAATCTACAAATTGCTAGAGATATAGAGGATACTATAAATGGTCAATTATTCACATACATGCATCTATTCTCCTCTCTCTGTAATATAGATACATATCCAATCGGTTAGTCATTTCAATAAAATATTTAACTTCGAAGAGGTAAAAAACAATGTTTAGTGTCCCAGCGATGCCCTTGGTAACTCTGTTATAGTTTTTATCTACTCTTCACGAAATGAATCATCATCGGAAAGGTCCTATTGTCCACTCACTATGCAACATGCCACATCCAGGACATAAAATTGGAAGAACGTTGCCGTCCGCATCGCAATTCATCGGCACCAACTCGCCCCATGCATCGACCCGCAGCAGGCGCCGATGGCATCGTCCACAGTAATAGCACTGCATTTGGCTTACATTCATGCTCTTACTGCGAAAAGTGGCGTGTAAAGCAGTTGCCACAGGACTGACTTGCGTCCTTGGTGCGACCCTGCCAATTTCACTAGGGGAGTCAGTAGGATCAGTGGCCTCACGGGAAGCTCTGTCTGGTGGAGAGGTAACACAAGTGATAGATGATGGAAGCTGTGATAGGCCCTCTGTCCCAACTTTAAGACGATGAGCATTACGCAAGTTAATATGAGCACCAAGAGCATCAAAAGGGTTTGCGCTCTCCCAGTTGATGTGCGTCTGAGAGCAGCTTGGGCAACCCAAAGGCAATGGTGTGCCAAAGGCGGAGCATGTAAAGGGAATGGGATTACCCTCCTGATCTAGAGACAACATCAAGTAACCACAGAGCCCACAGCGCCAAGCCGCTTTGTCTAGCTTCAAGCCACGCGGAGGAGGAGATGGGTTAACGGAACTTAACACGGTATGGAGTGGCGTGGTTCGAGAAATACTGGGTGGATCATCCAACTCGTGATTTTTGGCAGCGGAGGTAGTAATGTTGTTACTGATGTTCTTGTCATCGTAGGGAACAGGAATGCCTGGGCATGATGCGGTGGCAACACCAAGGTTTTTGATACCACCTCTGGAGTATAGAGTCTCAAGGGAAGTGACAGCAGATACGGTCTTGTCTGCAGTCGAAAGATTTCTCTCATTGGGATGAGAAGAGTTTAAATGAACTACTAAACCTGGGGTATAGGATGTTGGCATTAGCTTATCACGTTCCTTTCACTTTGATGTTGCTTGTAATATTAGGTAGATGTATCACTCTTTGTGCATAAGGATAGATCACTTTTCTGCCCTTCTTGATCTTCTAGCATATATACACACAAAGAAAGTAATAGAAAATTACATCTCCAAATTTTCGTTCACCTTTCCCGAGTTTCAACGGGTTTAGTATCAAAGAATCCATGCCGCACATTCTGAAAGAAAAGGGGAGGTGGACCCTGCAACACTGATACGATCCAGCTTTTTTTTTTTTGAGGGCGAAGACGACCAGATGTAGTATAGTACATAATTTGATTTCTTTCGAAAGACATATGGCACAAACTGAAGGAAAACTCGACATGCTTAGGTTGCTCTCATATTCTCTCAATCAATAGAAACCTAAAGACTCTTCACAGAATACTCGGAAATACAGGGCACGGTAGAACTTCCTTTATATATATATATATATATATATATTAAACGGAATAAAAGGTTACGTTTCCTCGGCCTTGTGGATGGGTGGGATGGAAAGGCGCAACATACACGCAGCTGACACAGCTCCCTGAACATATCCACCTACAAGAAGCACCTCCCGCACGCGTGTGTGGTGTGCAATGACGACCGCTGTATGGTAGGCACGACCCAACTCCAGTGCGAGCTGGTTTTGTGGAGAGGATGGCGTCACTGTGGTGAGGGGTGGCGGTATTAAGTTGAGTCGTACCCACACAAACTGCAGGGGCTCTGTTTTACGTCCAGCCTCAGCTGCAAGCGCCAGCATATCGATCTTCGTCTCCTTTCCAGACGATAACTTCTTGCTATGGAGGATCCACGCATCTGAGAGGATCTTGCCCGCTGCATCAACTCCACCGTGGACCAAGATTTCTTTGATAGAACCCTCTCCCTCCCTGCCAAGGCCGGGTAACGAACATATGGCTGCACCATAGCGCGGACAGGGGGCAGCCCCTCCGGTGAGCTGCACTGGGAGCCAGCATCGAGTTTCAGTATTGTACACAATCACATCGTTAAATAACTCCAAGTGGAAATTTCCAAAAGGTTGCTCTTCTGGTATGGCGCCGCCGGCGCGCGTATAGGTTCGACCTGAATTACTTTTTGTCTTCGATCTAGCGTTGTTCAAGCCGTGCCGTTTAGTTGGATTCGGGCGATCCTCCAGTACCAGCCGACGCCCGCCAAAGAAGAGCAGAATACGATCGTCCAAGCAGCAGGACGCATGTGCGGACCGGGGTGCTGGATCGGGTATCCGCTCAGTAGTTTTTTTTTCTTCAGAGGAAGTTGCAGATGAGCCCTGTATGGCTATTTCTCGCACAGGAGCGACCTCCTTCACTAAGGTCAACGCGGCGACATCGAATCCAGCCGGGTCGCCGGGGTTCATGCACGTCTGAGCCCAGTCCGGGCTACTGCTAGCGATGGTTAATCCATGAACGGTATTCGAACAGCCATGCAATGTAGTGCCGCCGAAAACATAAAGCTTGCCACCCACTACGGTGCAGCTGTGCCCGCTAATGGGAGGGATGCTTTCCGGAAAGGGAAGAATTGAAACTCCAGGGACGGAGGTCGACGCCTCACAAGAGCCTTTTGCGGTTTCTTCGGCGTAGAGCCGCATGGAAGCAAACCGTCGCTGACCGTCCCAGCCTCCTACCGCACACACCAGAGTGGGTATCTTCGGTAGAATCAGCAAAGATCGTGTCGAGTTACAATCCCCATTCAGCGATTGAAGCTCTACGAGGTCCTGCTGCTCATCTGCTGTTTCGAGCTTCTCAGTGTCTGAGAAATTGCTTTCAGGATTAGAGAAATCCCACAGAACAGCAGTTGCAGACTGTGTAGGCCATTTTTCTACGCGTGCGATGCCCGGCGCACTCCATCGCCGAGACGCAATATGGTAATACTCTACCAATGGGTAGGTGGAGGCCTCTTGAGGTGGCAATGTCATATCGCTAATCTTACTCCTATCTGCATTCGGATCAGGCGCAGGGGCCATTTCCCCCGAGTTGACGACTTCAACCGCGGATGATGACAGCTTCATTATGGAGGGCAGAGTAGCGCTCAATGAATGGTTACCAAGAGCTGCCTGATTAGTTGCTACACTACCCAGAGCGGCACCGCCTATAACAGCCATGATACCCTTGTGGTTAGGCACTAGGGTTGCTACATGGCCGATACGCTGACCACAGGTAAGCACTTGCATCGATTTGCTGTGAGTCACGCTACTTTCCACCGTGACATTAGTTCGAAGTACGAGCGTCGTCCCACCGATTTGCATTTGGCAGCTGTAGAACGCTTCTGGGCGCGTCTTGGATCGCCCAGAGCCCTTCACCGCGACAATTCCCTTTCCGGGAGGCATTCTACTCCGGAAAAAATGACCTCAAAAAGGGATAAAATGTTCCTTCGAACTAAGGTTAGCGGATGTGTGTTTTACCTATCCTGTCCCTGCCGCTTCCTCAGAATTGTTAGAAATAAATCAATGTGTAGATATAGCAATCCAGAAAAGTATCGGAGCATTTTGCTCAACTTACAACTGGAGAAGTCTTTTTAAGAAACGGCTAGTTGCTCTTATCAGTATCATCATCAGATACGACTATTACTTCAATCGCTCGTTTTACCCTCCTATTTGAGACCTCAGTCCCATTTACTGAACAAAGACGGCGGATGGTAGCACCATCTGTAGAATGTAGAGTGCGTTGATCCAGCTTCTCACCAGCGCACTGGTACAAACAGCTTTTGATGACCTCTGAGACGCTATCGCAATCATCACTGTCCTCGGCATGAGCCATTTCCACTGAAAAATAGGCTTGGTTATGAAGTCGCTTGCCCGTGTCATCATCTGATTCAGTCGGAGAAATCACTATGTCCTCTTTTATTGTTAGATAGAGCTCAAGTTGCCTTGAGTAGCGCATAGCAGTCCTGTAGGTCTCAGCCTTCCATTCCGCCCTGTCACTAGAGCTGCCACTCATACTCAACGACGGAGAGCAGAGTGCGAGCACATCGATGTCAGCGTTGCCATCCGTGGTCACCTCAATTATTTCTACTGTGGCACCCTCGCTCTCACTGTTAGTGAAGATTTGATACGTGTCCGCGTCGGAAACTACCTGAGACAGGGCAACAAGCCGGGCCACTGCGCCGTCATTGTCCCCCAATTGGTGCTGTACCACGTACTCATTGACGTTCTTAGCACGACAGCAAACCAAAGGAAACACATCCCTCTGCACTACACGATAGAATTGATGATCAGCCACTGGCACTTTCCCTTTCAACACCTCACGGTCCATCAGTTCTTTAGAAGCTGTCAGGTGGGACAGAAGGTGTGCAACATAGCGATAATGCACCGGGATGCCACAAACCCACACGAGGTGGAAGATGTAGTTTACAGCATCTGGAAGCGTCCAGGAGCTGAAGAGGGTAGGAAAAACTATGGTAACCGCTGCGTTGCCGTCACCAGTTGCACTAAACAAGTCGCTACTGCGGCAAGAAGAATGGTGTCGTCGCCGATTCCGTCCTTGTGTTGAACTCATCAGGGTACGAAAACTTGTGTGAACCTCTTTGAATCATGACACTGAATTCGGATAATGCTGAAGGTAGCTTAATCAAAGCAACTGAGGGAAGAGTACCCAATGTGTCACAAATAAAAGAGAATAGCTAATCGAACTTGAAGGAAAGTTCAAAAAGAAAGAGAAGAGCAATTTAGCGGGAAACTCATTATAAAACAGTCCTGATGATTCCATATGACACATTTTTTTCCATTAAAAACGCCAGCCGATCGAAACACTAAAAAACAAACTCTTTGGCTATGTTTGCTTTATGAGACTTAAGTAAACGGTAATCTTTTCGTCTGCCTGAAGATAACTGCATTCCTAATAACAGCCAAATACCAATTAAAAACATTACATACACCTATCCGTTTATATTTGTTGTCTCCTTTATTTGGTGAATACATACATTTTAGACCTGTAACACGTCCTTTTTCCTTGCGTGTGCTCGATCGTTTAAGTGGGGAAGAGGTGTAAGTACCCGGAGCACGCGGTGCTTACATAGCCCTTAATTTTGTACATAACGTGCTCGTATTTCAATACACATAGCTGATAGAGTGGTAAATATACTTTACATTAATAAACACGATAAGGATGAGGGGAAAATGAACTTGGATACAAAAAACCGGCCTTTAACAATCGTCTGTTCGTGTAATATTATACTTAGTAATATATAGGGGGCCCCCCAATCCATCGTAATTATCAATTGATTCTTTAAATGAGAAATACTATTACTTGATAGATGGGGAAGCCATTAATGTGGGGGTGTGATCACCGGCAATGGCCTTCGCCAAATATTCGTTATTTTCCAGTAGCATGGTCTTCATCTGCTCTAATGTTCCCCTTTTCTGTGCCACCTCGCGTTCTTCGCTCTCGACATATTTCATAGAGCGCTTCACGAAGCGAGTACGCTCATCCACAAGTTGAAGCCCAAATTCCTGCAGAGGGTGAACAAACACTTCGTTGGTTCGCTTAAATGTGTCACGTACTACATCCTCAACATTTTCGAAGACTTGCTCTCCGGCATCCTGTGTGGCATTAAGAGCATTAAGCACCCCTTCAACTGCCTTCATCTGCTCCGTCAGCTCAGTAAGCTCCACGCGATAGTTTTCCATGTTCGGGTCGAGACTGTCCATAGCGCTGTCTTGGTTATGCTTGGTCAAGCGCGCCTGACGCTCCAGAGTGTCAAGGCGATGGGACTTCTTGATGGCCAACTCGCCACAGGAAAAGACGAAATTTTTGTAAGCATCCATGAAGCTTCCCACTTCTTCGTTAGTAATCTCCTTAACGACCTCTTCCATCCGGTTTATGGGGAGCCTCTTAACCATGTCTGCGACATAACGTTCGGTTTCCTCGACCACTGGCTTACATCCGTGGAGGTATGCCATGCAATGCCGCAGCCTTTGGCAGTGCTGCTCATGCATGTTAAGAAACTCTTGTAAAGATGTGATTCGCTGCTCCTCCGCGCGTTTGGCTGCTGTTGCGGCTTGGGTGAGTTCCTTCTGCTTATGCATTAAGTCGCGCAGCTCCAGCGCTTTTCTGCGAAGCTCATCGATAACATCTCTCTGTAATCTCACAATCGTATCCAAGTCTGTTGACATTTGTTTCTGTTTAGACGCATACTCCATTGCATATGCGGAGGACCTGGCCTCTTCCTCGCGCCGGGTCTTGTTGCATTGCTCGAGATCAGCATTTAGAGCTTCTTTAAGGGCCTCCTGCTCTTCTTTAAATTGCCTCAATGCATCCTCAGCGTCATCTTGAGCTTGCTTTAACTCGTTGCTAAAGGCACAGAGTTCTTCATTATTTGTGGTACCGTTAAGAAGCCTTATACGCTTTGCGCACAGAACCAGGTACTCATAGCGAGCGGCAATAAGATGGCGGTGAGTGCGCTCCACTTCTACAACATCACCCGTTGCGTTAGCGGTGTTAAAAGCCACTAACGCCTCATTTACCTGCGCGATAAGTTTGTTCTTAATAGGGTCCGTCTCAGCCGTCTCCGCACGCACAGATGCAGCAATATCGGTGTGCTGAATATCGTAGAGGGTGGTGAGAGTTTTGGGGAGACTGAGGATGGCATTGCGGCCCTGGTGCTCCTTTAGCACCTCCAAATTATCCCGAAGCAGCAGATAGCGGCCCCGTGGGAGCTCGTCCTTACCGGACAGTGCCTTGAGAATATTGGTTATTCCTTCCACATCCATGGCTGGCCTCTGGCTGAGCTCGCTGATCGTTTCTTTAGTTACCTGTTGTTTGCAGCGATTCAATAATTTTTCTTCCGACCAGTCGCAAGGTTGCTCATGACGATAGGAATTTAAGTAATTGTCGAGTGCAGTTGACAAAGGCGCGCTCTGTGCCTCCAACGATGGGAGGCGACCTTCAGTATAGGATAGGTAATTTTCTGCCACGGTGATGGCATTTTCCACTAATTCAGATAGTGTGGTTGTAAGCTTACGGTTCTCCAACTCCTGCTCCTGGCGCCGTGGATAGTTTGGCGGCACAATAGATGCGATAGTTTTGGCTTTCATTATCAAAAATTGGTGGTAGTTGTAGTTTGGAAGCGATGACGTTCGAGGATATAATACGAACTCTGTATATTTCTATTGTTAAGTCCAAGTTCTACCTTTAAAAACACTGTGAAAATAAAGAGATCAAAATTTTGGAGTAAATATTATAGCGTAGATTAACTTCGATAGGTCGATACACAAATGAGCACTACAAGCTTACTGAATTCATCCTCATTATTCTTTATACACTCAACAATAGAATTGGAAACAATAAGAAAGATCGATAGATTTCTTTTTTCTTTTAAGGGGTACAAAGCTCCCCCTCATCGTATTTGTTTTCAGAAAATTCACCTAAAGATAAGAAAATATTCCACTCATCAACCATGCATACTTTAATAATTTTTCTTTAGGGAGGGGGGTTCTAGATTTCTGCCTAGAACTCTTTTCCTTTGTATATCCCAGTTTGTATGGACAAGGCAACTGAATTTGATGCAAGAAAATCCCTGAGGAGCATCCCCCCCCCCTCATAAACAAAGGATGCATCTATAGGCGCAGATTTTCACCACTTACAGAACGTAAGCTTATCTCTTTTCCATCTTATTGTCTCCACCATAGTGTATTTGACAAGTTCTTAAGTAGAATACGAATAGCTGTCTGCAGCTTGTAAGTAAACAATATATTTTCGATTTCACTAACCAATATTGTAGCTCCCATTGCAATATGTTTTGAGACCTTTATGCAAGTGTTCACACTCTTCGCAGTACAGCCGCTCAGGCTTCTCTGTTTGTTAGCAACCTTGAAGAGTTGATTCGTATAGGCATTCCAGCGGTGCTTCAACATATAGTGCGCACCTCCGAGTTGGCTTGGTGTGGCAACATTGAGGGTGACAGTCACATTTAGAAATGCTAATGTGTGTCCATCCTTTTTGTTGAACAAGCGGCTTAATTCATGTAATGGATAAAAATTCTGGACAACATCGAAAGATGGAGGACAGGAAAGAAATTTGTGAAAACGGATATATATTCTTATGCATTGTTTTCCCAATATTGTTGTCAATTAAAATACCCAACGCCCTTTGATGAAAAATAAGCACTGCCGAGCATAAAATGAATCTTAATTCGTTTTTATTCTACTCAATATTGATGATTCTACATTCTTGATGCGCCTATGCGGTGATTGGCATCGTATTGTACCTTTTTATCGGAGCATTTTCTCTTTCACATTCGCCCCCTTTGTCCTTTCAATGAGACTTTTATCAAAGTGTCATACTAGAGTGGAAACATCATTACCTATTCCACCCAATTCTATAACACCCGTTTTCTTCAGGACGCCACGTTCGACGTTACGCACACACACACAGTTGAACCTTAGGTCCTTTGTGTTCTTCTGGGGTAGTTTTTGAGACACTTTAGTTGGCAAAGCAGGGCTATCTTGTGTGAAACTTGTTATCAAGACAATTTGCTGGTTGATGGAAGGATTACCGCTGCCTCATTGTCGCAGACAAACTGAGTTCGAGAAAGAGTACGATGGACTTAGACTTTCACCACCTCAATGAGATACCCCTTGAAGAGCATTTTTTACTGAACCATACGCAAGCCTTAGGGTGTTCACTTTGTAGCCAGATACTTGGTGCTATTTCTTGTGTAATGTTGGGGCGCTCTACCACAAATGACATGTACAGATGCCATTTAACACTATTCCAGTCATCCTTAGTAGACAACGGTAGTTAAGAATTAGAGACTCTATTGAAACTATCCTGCTGTGTTTATTTGAATAACGTAATCGTCCAGCTTATCATTTAACTTGCGAAGTTCAAAGTACTCTTCTACTCAACTAATAAAGTACCTCTTCAGACCAGTGAAAGCCGATATCACATGGATGGATCGGTGTCAAGTGATTCGTAATTCATTTTATTGCACACACCACTCTAACTGCAATACACTACCATACATTTTTATAGTTAAGATTGAAGGTGAGTAACACAAAGTCATAAACTAAAGCAGCATTCTGTTGTTTAGCTTAACGGGCCTCTTCAGAATGGAATGACGCAAAGTGGCGAGCTCACCTAGACAATGTGAACCAAGCAATCCTGCCTTTATTAAAGAAAATGACACTGCGTATGAGAAGGTAGTAAGCAGATGAACGTGAAAAGCTTCCAGACCTGTAACCATGATCCTAATAGGGGCTGAATGACTCCTAGGCGTTCCAAATGGTATCGTGTTGCTGCCATTTAGGACCTGAAGTTTGAAAATTAGAAAGCTGATGAATGTAAGTGATTTAATTAATCTTTACCCCGTCCTCTAAAATGCTCTATTGATACATTTATAAATTTATGTATTGCACTAAATTCGCTTTACTCCTTGACTTTATGTAGTTCATTAAAGTGCTCTTATCCTCTATAATTCATTTATGCGTCCCAGTATTGAGTTAATACCAAATAATATCAAGTTATTTTAGTGGCATTTATTGTAAATAAAAGGAGAAAAAAAGAACTCAAGAATCGGTAAAGTACGCAACACACTAGCAAAATTCCTTTCTGATGCTGCATCAATATTACTGGAAAAAATGCAACAACAAAAAAGGAAGGATACCCACATAAGAAACGCTTTAAGCGGATACACACGCACACAATCAAATCACACTTTTGTATTTACCCCTTCGGCATTGATATGCGTTTGCTGTTCAGAAGATGTACAACAAGACGCGGGAGCATGAAATGTTTTCGAGATGCTACTTCCATAAAGTTCACTGCCTTCAAGGGCGTCTACGGCTGGAATGTCTTGAAGACCTCCTCCACACCCTTCGCAACCTTGAAGTTCCTGTCCCGTCGCCCAACACTGTAGTGAATTACACCACCGTCGAGATACAACAACACTACATGACCGCCATCCCCGCTGGCGATATCATTGTGCAACTTGAAGATGCGATGCCCGCTAGGAGAACGCATATTGGCCTCCTCTAACAACAGGTGTCTATCCTCCGCAATAGCATTTAGCAGGGTCATTGTGACCTTTCCCCGGGAGTGCTGGAGCATCCCCTTGTATCGCTTCTGCTGATGTGATGTGTGCGAGATACCACTCAGCTTACTGAACTCTGCTGCACCCAAGGCTTCCACGATGAGCAGCAGACGATACAAGGTAGTGCGTAGTATTGCAGAACATATCCTTGCTGTAGGGGAAGCCTCGTCCGGGGAGACACTGAGTGAAGACAAAGTACGCTCAACCACAAGGCATTGGAATGGACGCACAAGCGCAATCCATAAAGCGTTTGACACACCTGGACGGGCCACAAAAGTTGTGAAGCTCTCTTCCAATGGTTGTAAAAAGGTGTTGAAGAACGATCGAAGGACTGCTACCGCGCGCTGTGCGGAACTTGTCACTGTTAGAGTGCTTTTAATTGGGTCGCTACAGACTGCTCTTTGCACAAGTTGGTTGGAAAGAATTCCAATAAAGCATACGGCTTCCGCACAGAGGTGCCCGAATCGAGACTCGTCCTCAAGATACACAGACAACAAACTCCTTGCTAAGGTTGGAACAGAATTAAGTACTTCCCCAGAAATAGATGAGCAAGTTCTGGTACCTTCCATAAGCATGTAAGCAGCCCACCCAGGTACCATAAGAATGCCCACACAAAGAGACCTGGGCTCTGGGGTGATGCCAAACGGTATTGCATGGATGAAAGCATTCGTAATGCGTTCCACACACCACTGGGACGCCTCCATTGGTAAGTGCATCATAGCTTGCATAATGAGGTTGATTACCTCACTGCTTTCAAGGGACGAAACATTGGTAACAGTCACCGCCGATTCCGCACCTTCCCTTTTAGTACTCCACTCCCTTAACTCTCTCAACCACTTGCCGCAGCAGTACACGGCGTCTGTCATGAGCCCACAAGCGACCACAAGGCCAATAACGTACGCACCACAATCAACACCAACCATCATGGGACTCATTTCCCCTCTCAACGAATCAGCGTCGACCGCAGCAGGATCCCACCAAAGGGTCCCTACATCAGAAAAGGAGTCCTTACTACACCACACCAACTCCAAGCTCTTAAGCCCACCCACAATTTGCTTTAGGATAGGAAAATTCTCACCCTGTTGTCGTCGCCGTGAGATCGTTGGTGAGGCGCTGATGGCCTCCCGCCTGAGTCGTGCTACCATAACTATTGTCGCTTCCAAGTACGTCCGAATATTTGCCAGAGTGACAAGCGCCTGGGCCATCAGCACCCATTCAATAGAGGACGCAGAAAAACAACCAGAGAGGATTGTGGATAGTAGAGAATTCTCCTTAATTGTCTTCTTACTTGGAATGACCGATGGATTAATACCAGCGTTAGGTGTGAAACCCAAGTCCAAATCATCCTCCCCGAATACACTAGAACTTACCCTCTCCTCAAACATGATCAGGGACCGTTGGAGTACTTTTGTAGCTTGTGTAAAGAGTACACTGACATGGGCAGCCGAAAACATGCAAAGCAATCAGTAAATTAATGTGATTTACAGCCTTGTTATTTCCATAGAGATGATGATCCCTCTATATAACACGATATGTTTCTTTCACCAAAATGAGAGGAGGGAAAAACTTTACGGTTCACCTCATACATACGCACAGAGAACTCTGAGGAAATAAACATAAATTCAAAGGAAAAAGATCCTGCTTGTTATCTAGCTAATCCAAATGCAGAAAGGACATTCATTCGACCAATGTACACAGAAAGAAACTAAGTAGGCATCAATTTTGAATTTTTTAAAGCAATAGTAATAGCATCTGGAAAGATAACCCCACGTAATATTCCATTGTTTTGACTTTTGGGACAGCCCTCCACACGCATTTAATAAACGCACTAGTCCGATACAGACACGTAAATAGCAACCAGCATAAAGGCTATGGCAATTCCACCGCCGATGAGGTGTCCACCTGACGTGACGCTGCACATAATGTACCACTTATTCATGTGAACACACATGACACCCGCGAGAACCATTACTATAGGGTTAATGACGAAAAGTGTGATCGTGGTTGTCGCTCCGAGTACACTGATCGCAGCGTTTTTGAAAATACACTGAACAACCAATAAGAGAGCACAGAAAATAAACGTTATTATGTAGCAAATAACGGAAAGTCTGAGGAAGAGAGTGTACAACAGCTGAAAATCCGAACGCTCCTGAAGGTGATACGTAACTAATGGAATTCCATGTCGATTCCACGGTACACTATACAAGTACCAGGGCGTCATTGAGTTGATAGGGTACTCTGTTCCCTCACGCTGTATTGTGGAGCTGCAGCGATAGCTGATGCTATATGTATCAGTCAGGCGTATCTCTGGATTTAGCCATTGGTCATTTGAAGGAAACCTCATGTCACGTTCCTCACGAACTGCATTGTACATGTCCGTTGTTAAAGCAATAACTTGTGGATACTGTAATGCTGCGCACCACATGTGCGGTGCAGCGACGTCGTCTTTAGTGGGATCAAAACCCAACGCGGTTGTACTTCCAACATTTTTACCTTTGAAAAGTGACGCCGCGTCATTGTACACTGGAGATTTGTAAAGTGCATCAAAAAACAATATAATGTAACATTTCCTATTCGTATTCTTATCCTTAGGCCCTGCTACACAGTATGGGATCAACGACTTTTCCTCCGGGTCCATGGTGACGGGTCGCCAGCGCACGTCGGAAAGCTGCGCCGGCAACAGCGCAAAAGAAGGGTACGTTTTACCTGGATAGGCAACACACTTCGCGTCCATGGCGAAGTTCATTGTTGACCCCTGCAACACCTCCTCCACACCTTTCACACGCGCAAATGCAAGGCACGAAATCGTACCAAAGACTAGGCTGACGCCTAGGAGCAGAACGACCCAGGCTAAGATGCGTATCATGGAGTCCTTGTTGGATCCCGAAAGTCTCCCTAGCGGAATTATCGCTACTAACGTCTCTACCAGCGTCATTGCAGCCATTAATGAAAACACAACGATACCCAATATTACGTCCGATACCAATATTGACGATAATAAGCTGAGTAAATAAGCAGCAGCAAAATTAGCAACGATCATTGTGCATGTCAAAAGAGCGATAGCTACACACCAGTGCAGGTACTTCGCAGTGCTCACAAGCTTTTCGTGAGACCTGCACGCCTCAACTTGCTTTATTTCCTCAATGTATTCCTCCCGAGTGACAATCTTGGGTTTCGTAACAATCGCCCGTATGTATTGCGGCAGGTCTATCTCACGTTGAGACCATGCTTTGCAACGAAAGTAAGTCCAATGTGGCGCGTAGTTGGAATGGTATCTCCAGAAACGACAGGTGCTGCCCACTGCCAAGATGTCACTTATACTACTCGCGTCTATAAACAGCAAGATGATATAGAATATGTCCACCCGGAATGGACCAACTGGTTTTGGTGGTTTGGTAGCTGCGGGATAGTGAGATAAAGAAGAGATGCAGGAACAGAAACGGAGTATATCCTCTGGATATCCACTGCATGTAAAATTAATTGGAGTGTTGCGACCGTGGTGGATTGCAATGCTGCCACCAGAAGACACGATCGATGAACTATGTGAATCTGAGCGAAAGTCCGCACTCACCGTTGCATCGGACAGCGGATCCATAGTAGAGACACCGTGATGGCGTTGTTGAGATTCTTCCCTACGATTATATCCTGAAGCACCGCCCCTTTGATTTAGGTGGGATGGGATTTCGATTGAAACATTATCTAAGTCAATTACAACGCTGCGTCCGTGTCGCGGCGGAGGCTCCTCGTAGGGTACACCAATGTGGTCGAAGTTTGATTTACCGCAACTGTGCTTGCTGAAGAAGTTCATGACTCCCAGAAATGATGGATTCTATAACCAACTCGCCGAAACCCTATGACTGTCCTAATAACCAAACTCAGATATATGATAGAAGAAAGAAGGGGATGTGAATCCCATAATCTACAAGAGGAGCGAAACAAAATGGAATATCGGAAGTAATACATCTGCTGATAGGAGATAAATGAACTGATCATCTTAGAACCACACCTAGGGTTACACTGGCTGATTGCTTGACGCGTGAATATATAAAATTGAATAAGAGCGAATAAAACAATAATGGGAGGGAATTATGAAGGACTCAATACAGAGGTGTTCGTTTGCATAACTATGGCGTAGGAATATGTGCAATCGAATATACATTGCATCTCTCAATATAATATCGAGACACATTAAGGCAAAAGGTAAAGGAGCAAAACAGTTCCATCATCAACTGTCTGTTGAGAAGCCAGAAGTTTGCCACTTTCTGGTGAATATCTAGCGTTAGAATCTGCAGCTATAGAAACTTGAGAAGATCGAGACAACACAACGACACTGTCGCATTCTACATCAAAATGCCTTAGGGCAGAAGACGTTTGGGTAATTGAGCGGAGCTAAAAGAACAGAACTTTGCCTGTAATTGGAAAGTTTGGATTTCCATTTTCCAAATTAATAAACTCATGAGCTGTAGTCACACCGGTAAATAAGCTGATATAAGATTTTACTTGTGTTCTAATGAATGTTACCGTGGTGTATTCAACAGGAAAATATGGACGAGGCTACACAAGTTCCCCTTCTTAAGAAAGGAAAAGGTAAACATGGAGTATAATGAAAGCAATAAGATGTAGTAAAGCTCATAAAGTAGCGTATCTCAACTAATAAATACAACGTACCGTTAACTCTCAAAATGGATCAATAGTTTTAATAATAAAGATTTTTGATACTAAAAGGTTACCTTTTCTTAGAGGCAATAAATAAAAAATATAACTAAGGTGTAATTTCTGAGGAAGAAAGCACTTTTCGTACCCAATGTAAGTTAATAACAAAATTTTGCATACTATCTTCAATGAACCTAAAACGGCATCTTTTTTTAAAATAGAAATGCCCTTATTACCGTTCCTTTTTACCTATTTTTCTTAAATTGAATCAATCAAACAACCATATCAGGATACTAATCCAAATACTGTGTCGCAAGCTAGTTATAATGCCTCCTGTAATTAAAAAATGAAAGCTAAAATTCAAATCCCATAATTAAATTAGCATGAAGAAAGCATCTGATCAGATTTTATGGTAATTTTGATAAAACATTTTTTTCCCTTTCTGTAAGCATTTAGGGTGCTACAGCTATTCAAATCAACATATTTTCTTAGTATCAGCTTACAAAAATATTCCTATTTCGAGAAAAATTTATAACATAAAACAATTTTTCCTAAAGTAGTGAAATAGCTCCATTACTGATAAAATTAGAAGCGCACTGTGTCCCATTAATATTTTCAACTACAAATTAGACTTTCAAAAAAGCAGCTAAAATTACATATAATAATTAAGAGTTAAGGAGTGGAAGTACTAATAAAAAACAATTTTATATATTCAGCACAAAAATAAGGCCCATTTTTGAATCATATATTAGGGAGTGTTTTCGCCTTTCAGGAGGTTGAAAGGATTGGGTGCATTCTCCAGGCGGTGGAGGTGCATATCAGCAAAGGTATGGTTCACAACACGATGCTCTGCCTCATCAGCGCGGATTACCGCAATCAGGTCGCGGAAAGAGGCATCGCTGGGCAAACTCCAGTACTGCTTGGCAATCAGGGGCACATGGGAGCTGATTCCTCCAAGCTCACCCTTGTCCAAGTGCTCCAATATTGACGTATAGGTGATAACGGCCTCTTCTTCAAGATACCCCACAAAGCGATGTACAAACCGCGGGCATACCATGTAAAGGAAGAAGAGAAGATTGAACACGATCCCCTGCGCGGCCAAAACACACAGGCGGAAGAAAAGCCCGGGCTGCCGCATCTCGATGAAAGTCATTAGATGCATACGCTCGTTCTCTGCTTCGTCGAGGAGGGTTTGAATCCAACCATGATCACGCTCCATGCGACGCAACGACTTGAAATGACGCAACATGCCACCCACCATGCCCGGCACCGCTGCAACAGTCTCAAGAAAGAGGCATCGGTTGACTACCTTGCGCTCAGTCACGCGACCGATACGATACATAGAGAAGGTGTCGAATGCCCAGCGCATAAGTCGTACGACACGGTATGCGATATGGTCGACCACACCCTTTGGCTTCTTATGGTTAATCTGAACTTTTTGCACGTCGTCGACTGACCACACCGGTGTGCCGTGTCCATACTCTCGAATATATAACTCGTCCCCTTTCTTCGCACATGTCTCCGCCAAGTCAAGGAAGCTGAGCTTGTTGAGCTCATTACTGCCCCATCCCCATGTCTTGTTTCGAATCACGGAATTCGTACTTTGAGGCGGTTCGACCTGCGTAGTGGAAGCACGAAGAGAGATTGTCGGCAACAAACGTCCACCAACCAATGCAATGGCACGACGATTCAACATCCTTGAGATAAAACTGTGTTTGGAAATAAAAGTTTTCGTTTATAAATAATAGGTTCTGGTTTAGCTTTTTATATGATTTCGCTGAAGGGGATCAAGTATCAAGAATGTGCGTCACGCAATGTTTGAGAGGGTAAAAGAGAAAACATAAGGACATCGCAACAATGTCAATTGGTAGTTAACGAGAAAGACTCAGGAAGCAGTCGCAAAATCATAGCAAATTTATTCTGTTGTCACCACGCCAAATACACGCGAAGGAACATAAAAAAGAAGGCTTTTTCTTGGGGATCTAAGCACCATGAATTGGTTCAAGGCTTATTTTGCGTCTAATTTCTGAATGCCAGAGCTCAGTTTGTAAACACAAAATTTTATTTAATCATTTTGACTACTACGCATACGCAACTGAAAGATTGTTCAACAAATCAACTTCGTGCAGGATATAGATTCATGTGAAAGACCCATTCCTCCACCAAATAACTTCATACCACGACAAGGAAAACATTAGGAGCGCCAATCGAGCAACAAAAGAATTAGTAACCTCTACACGACACTCTTTTCGAAATTGTTGGTGACAAGCAACGACAAGAATAGCACAAACCATTGTCTATACGTTGAGAAAAATAGTTTTCCCTTGAATAGAATGAATAATCTGTTGGATTCGCATCGATAATACCCTTGAAAATTATTTCCATAGCGGCGCATTAAGAAAGTTTTTTTGTAGAACACTGAGAAACCATCGTTAATAGATTAGGCTTGAAGTTCACTTTCAATTGGACCCATCTATAGAAAGATTGACAGACCACTCATCACCAAAGCTTCATGTACCTATCCCTTTCTACACGTCGAAAAAGATGGAAAGGCAAGGAGAACCCACATAGTTTGCAGTAATGGAAGTGCTCTGGGCATTCTAAGCCTGAGGATCCCGCCCAAAGGGCGGGACAGATGAGGAATACGAAAACAACGCATTTAGAAGACGTACCTCTCTCCCGTTTCTTCACAATAATGGATAAGTGGACTCCTACTAAGGAGAATGGTAGAAACTTTCATTTTCTTCTCATAAATATGTATTACGTACTAGAACCTTTGGATTTGATATCAGTGTTAGGCTTGTTGTGGTGGGAAAATACGTGTGTTATGGTACCACTCCCGTTCCAGAGCCTCCCGCTGTGATCGTAGATATTCTAGACCTTCTGGTACACCAATTACAAATTCCCCAGGGCGTCCTTTACGTCGCACGTCTGTAAGGTTGGCGATGCGATTCCGTAGCCCGTTGCTCCATCTCTGCGACGCCTCGTATGATTTTTCGGCATCACTGCGAATAAATCCATAGCGCCAGAGCCAAGTTGCTTCAATTACAGCTTCATGTTGAGCCAACTTTTCCTGGGGCAGCCCACTTTCAACGATACGCCTGCTCTGATCAGGATCGAACAAGTGATTTTCCCTCAAGGTAGTGTTCGTGTCCTCATCCACTTGCATCTCTCGCCTCTGCTTTGCCTCAATAGCACGAACGTGCTGCATAACGGCCTTCGTTTTGGGGGAAACGCGGTTGGACTTTCCATAACCTAAGGCCTCTGGCGCTGCGGCAGTATCACAGGCAGGGGATGTATCACCAAAAAGGCACCCACGCTGGCCGTAATTACTATATTGCATGACCAGCTCTTCACCCTCAGCGATAGGCCTGGAGGCGGTCACAATCACCGCGCCGTCACAAGGGTTCTGGAAATACACGACGTTCGCCCCAGAGTGTGAGTGATTCAGACAATCTAGAAAAGGAACCAACGCCATCTGCTGAGGGCCGTGGCGCCAACAGATATTTACAATTCTTGAGCGCATCATGAAATGAGCCCAGTGCATGCACGCCACATCTTCTGGAGAGGCAGTATCTTCATCAGTCAGGCCAGGTGCGTCTATCGACTTTAGAAGTGGCAGAACCAGATCCCTGTGCAGCCGAGATTCCATGTGGATGAGATGTCTTAAGGATGCACTGCTTGCGTGACGCAACGCATGTGCGACAGCCATTTCGTGTTGTCTTCGCGTCAAGGCAGTACACCTGCCGTTATAAAAATCGGATAATATTTTTTCAGTGACTGCCACCTCAATGCGCGGCGTACGCAACGCTTCAAGGCCGTCGGCCTCCACCGCCGCGTCCATCAGCTTCGCAACCTCTTCCTTAGCATCCAATGTGCGACGAAGCTCTGTTACAAGGTCTTTATTCATCACAAGTCGATGCTGCAGTGGCACGTGCTCGCGATTGCCCTCGTAATGCTGACGGAGAAGCAGGCCTAAGGGTGGAGCCTGGGGCGGTAAATGACGGGCCCACACTCGGTGTGCATGGTCTGGCGGAAGCAGACTACCGTAACGCGTGCTTCGCAGTAGGAACAACAACAGAGTAAGGAGGAGACCATCACGCGTTAGCAATAACTCCGGTACACCATTGTCTATATTCCGAATCAAAGATACCAGCTCGGTATAATTTGGAAGAGCTAAGGAAGCCTGTTGAGCACGGTCACATATTTCTCGAATAAGATTGTCCGCTCGGTCACCAGTCACGACGCACTGCGGTGGCACTACACAAATACGTTCACCTCTCACAATATTTTTAGACGCAACCATACAGCGAACTGGGGTAGTGGCAATTTGCTTCCCGCCAGCGGGAGCATACGATCGAATTTTTTGACATATCAACCCGCTTTTTATACCCAGAGATTTCATCCACTCTAAGTTCGAAGTAGTGGAGGTCAGAACATGAAATTTACATTTCATTCGCTCTTCTACCATCCATTATGTGCTTCAGACATAAATTGGAAAAATGAAGTACATAGAAGAGGGACAGTAGAAATACAAATTACATTGGCCTTTTAACAGAATATATTCAGTTAACGGATGAAATCTTTAGATATTTATACGGTTAGCTTTGACAATGTAATTAATTGTTTTATATTCATATAAGGACAGCACCATCAGAGTTCAACTATCATTAAAAAGGTTATGTATTACTAACATTAGGAGGGCAATATTATTAGTAAATATGGTAAGGTTAGAATTCACATCAAAAAATATCGTCTTTATGTTAAACGTACTCGACATAAAGATCGTATTCACCTATGGCCGCCCCATACTGTTTGGTCTTATTATTTCGTGCCTCAGCGATCTTCTTGCTGTTTTCTTTATGACGAAGGGCCCTATCGTTACAACTGAAATCAGAATTACGTTCCTTTTCAGCAAGCTGCTCCTTAAGTTCCTCTATCGTCAAATTTTCCCGCTTGGCAACTTCCATTAACTCAATTTCTTCCTGTTGAGCCATTTCTAGTTTAATACTACGGGATACCTTCCTTTTGTTGTTACTAATTTCCTTTTCAATGTCTTTAAGACGAGCCTTATTCTTAAGACCGACCCTGGTATAATCGGCTTCTTGAACATCTTCGCCATTTTTAATCTTATCATATAGCTCGCGGAGGAGCACCATTTTTTGTGAATAATCTTCCATTCTTTAAAGTTATATGTGTTGAAAACAGCGCAAATAATAAAGAAAGGGATATTTAATCCTCTATTGGCCTAGGAAATCGAGGAAGAAGATGAAAAGCGACGCCAAGGGAAATGACTTGAGGAGTAGAAATAAAATATACTTTGTGTTCGAAAGAAATATAAAAATGAATATCACCATAATTTGTTACATGAAACTCCCAAAATATATTCGTTTTGGCTACTACACTAGACCATCGATCTTGTTAAGCATTCCCGCCCGTTCGTTGTAATCACGGCGTTTCTGCAAATATTCAGCCAGCGGTGTTATACCTGTGATAAACACGACCTCATCGAAGGGTTTACTTATCATTTCCTCCCAGTCAATGTTTAAATAAAAAGGTATCTGCTTTTCTCCATGGATACATCGCGGTGCATTTTCTCTTCCCCATTCCCAGTAAAACTTCAGATTTTGGCGCTGCGCGCTGGTAAGATACACTCCTCCTCCAATAAGTGAAAGCAAACCCAAGGGAAGTCCAGTATGTCGCCATTCAAGAATCTTTACTGCTAACTCCTCTTCCACTGTTCGCCCGCAACCCGTTAGTGTATGCATAAAATCATGGCACTGACGGTAGCGCGTCATGATGTACCGAAGAGTAGGATCCGCGATGTACGTGACTGGAGTGCGGGCATCGGGGTTGAACTTGTTATGATTCATATAGGAGGCGTAGCGGTGTCCAAATGTACCCCCTGGTTGCCTCTCGGCAACCGCAAGTAACTCATCAGTTACGAGCGGCTGGTTCAGGAGAATAGCTCGGCCTGTAAGGTCGGCCATCATCCTAGCCTTCATTTTTTCTAGGGCGTTGAGTGCGGATAGCTCCCCAACCGCTGCCACCGCATCAGCGTTTGTGGGATCCCAAATCGCCTTTGAGCTTTGGGATGCAAACGCTGCTATTTGTCTGGCCAATCTGAGCGGCACAGATGCAAAGGATAAATTTAAAAGCATTTCCATTGAAAGAAGGTCTAAAGTTGATATCGTTGAGTTGGCAACTGAAGCAAGCCGAAAAAAAGCATATGGAAGTGACAGCCATGGAACTACTCCTGATTTCAAACGCAGGAAATATGTAATTACACAAGTAAACATCAACAATAGTACTAGTAGAAATGGGAATATCATTAATAATACAGAAAGGAATGGGGGCCTGCTTGCCTGGCATAAAAGAAAGTTTTGAAATAATTTTGTGCACACATATCAAAGAATGGAATGTGATGAGGAGTACAGTCCCTTTGATTGCCGACTTGTGCGTTGAATCCCCTGAATGTGACCACTGAAAATGAAGAGGCGCTTCAGTAAGGCAGCATAATTAGGCTAGATTCACAAAGCCACGGCCTTTCTTCCCTTCTTTACAGATGCAACCCGACGAATATATATCTTAAAATAATTACACGAAACCTCTACCAACACTTAGTTTTCATACCCAAGAAAGATGTCTGAAGTCCAAGCTCCTCGTCTGCTGTAAAGCTACCCTTCAGCGTGACCCCTCTCTCTAGCCCGTCTTGTAACTCACAGAAGTAAAGACACGAGCACTGGCATAAAAAAGCAAAGCATTGTGCCGTCTCCGTTACGGAAGTTTCTCATGCGGTAGTACTGCTTCTAGATCTTCAGCAAACCGTGACGTGAGCACCGCTTAACTACAGAATCCCCTCCCTACGACGATGACGTTGTGGCGATTAAAAATGATGAAAAGTCAGCAAGTGACTACTATAGTAGTGAAACATTTCAATTTTAAAAATAAATTCGTCCAAATCATGGCACACTAACGCTTCATACTTCTTGACTACGGAGTCAAGGCTTTGCCCAACGACGACGACACGCACAGGCAGAAAAAAAGTGCTCTAAAAGTGGTAATGTTTTGCCATTAACCGTAGCTCGGAAACTTTGGGGGAGTCATGCTCCATGTGATAACCTTCATGGAGATTCATGATAAAATTGTGCGTGTTGGCTCTAAAAAGAGCTTACGCACTGTGGATAGTTAATATGGAGCACTGCATTTGGAGGCTTTCCACCACACATACAGCGGGGGTAATCACAGACGACGAGAACATTGCTGTCTCTGGAACACTTTAGCACACAAACTGACGATATGTGTTATTAAGTGGAAGCAAAGGTGTCAAGTAAGGATGATCGACAAGCTATACCACAGCTTACTCATCGTTGTTTAACTACAGAATTAAAAAATTCACCATGCAGATGCTCTAGAAATCAAAACTACAATATATCAGTTTGGCAAGAACTGTTCTCGGATTCTCACAACGAGAATCGGTCTGATAAAAATAGTGTTGAATGGACAAACACTCTAGGGCATCATAGTCATACTGGATAGAATAAGGAAGCACTTGATGGCTTTCCCAAAAAAGCGTTTCCTTCAGGGAACAATAATTGACTTGAATGAGATACTTTGAGAATTAGTAAATATGACGTATGATTAAGCTTACTGGTCAGACTACGACACTAGCACTCGCAAGTATACCGTAAGAAAATCCACAGAAAATACCAAAGATAAGACAGTGACGAAAACTGTCTGTTGGCCACTCTAGTGGCCAACAATTAGAACTAGATGATGTCGTCCCTACCATGATGAGTGGGCACTACTCTCAAGCCAACAAACAGCAATCAATGTCGTACAAATCGTGCGCTAAGTATTCCTTATACTAGGATGGTTGCATTCATCGCTTTTCGGAATATGAGCGCCCTGACAAAGATTTGCTACACGATACTACCAGTCATATCAACTAAGGTGGCTTAAGGCTTGATTGATGGAAGGCTTCCCCCCTCTATACATGACACGGTGTCAACATGAACATTTTCTAGTTTGTGAGATTGTTAGCATAAAGGAAAAAGTTTAGTCAACCCTTCTCTTTCGTGCGAGGATCGTGGAATAGATGTGGGATTTGGTAAAAATATCCTCAGAGGTTTTGCAGTTTTTTGTGTAGAAAATCGTGCAGCATCGATTCAAAATGAGGCTAACAGGGGATGGCACCTTCACTCCATCGATCTCATCGTTATTATTAATTGCTTGAGAATGGTTGGAACTTTCAAAGCAGTCTTAACACTGATTATAGGGCTTAGAAACCGATAGACGGGCCCCCAATACGTAACCGAGGGCATCTTGAAGTCGGTCATACAGTATATCATCTCTGGCACAGCACTTCAAGTGAGTATGCTTGAGTCACTACAGAATGTTGATAAAATAGATAACATTGCATACGCCAAGTCAATATGAGGGTCATACGAAGAACAAAGGCGTGGAGTTGCTCGGGAAGAAGTATGGAAGAGTGACCATTTCGTTCTGGCTCTGGCAAGGATCATAATGAAATTTTATCCGTTTAAAAAAATTGATAAGGGTATCCCTACGAAGTACTGGTAAGTTGCAATTGACTGTGTAATGCTTATCTAGGCAGTTTCTTCTGCGCAATCCCAAATCGCCATAAGAAGAGACTTCTTACCTCAAAGACGCGTAGTCTGCATGGTAAATTTATAAAAAAGTATCAGTTCGCGAGGAAGTGTAATAGTGTCCGTAAATCCCGAAAAGAATCATTAAATAAGTCCATTGATTGAAAAATAGCAAGGGGGAGAAACGAAACTAACGGCTAACGCTCACATCACCACAGTATACGACAATTTTCAGCAAGTTTTATTAGAGAAAGCTTCTATTTCTTTTAATTATGTCTTAACTCTTGCGCCGGGGGTTAGTGCTGCTTGAATAAGAATTACTGTTTTTGTCTCTTTTCCATCGGCTGTTGGATACGTTGCTACGATGATGTTTATGGAAGCCTTTTCCGTAATTCATGTTGAACGCACGCGAAGGCTTCACACCATTTATAAAATGCACACCACTATAAGGAATTGGTCCATCATCACCGTCAAAGTGGCTGATCGGATCCGCATTGCTGTAGTCCTCACCGACGTAATAGCCGTACATATCGTCATCCTCAGTAGAGTCGTCGGCGTCAACAACATCATGAAAGTCATATGGCGGGCCATCTGGGAATTCAACGTGATAGAATGGACCCTTCCGTAGAGAAGGATGCTGTCGTCTGCCGAAATTGATGCTCCTGTGATTTTTATTATTGTCCTGACTCCAGCGGTTGAACTCGTCTACAACCTGCGATGTCTGCTTACCAAGAGCATTACCAATAAACTCAAAGCTTTTTCCATCATGATACATGTTAACCATGGCCTTCAGATCGGCCTCTGGCCACATCGCAGTTGATTTAGAGCTCTCTTCGTTATTCATACGTTTTTTGATACGATGCCGGTTGTGATGTTGCTGCGGAGACCTTTGGTTACCGCTGCTATCATTCTGTCGTTCGGTATTAAAACGTGAACGATATAAATCATCACGATCCATTGAAGCACGCACCTTAATATCCTCATCATTTTGATGTCGCATTTCTTCCCACATCATTTCATACAAAAGTGGATCCAGATCCTCATACCACGGCTGATATGACGACCCATATGAATCCGAGTGCACATTGCTGTTGTTGGGATTACTAGAAAACGATGATCCACGGGTTGAACCCTGTGAGGATCCATAAGATCCGTCCGATGGTGCAAGTTTATGTCCCGCCTTATGGAAGCGGCTGACAGTGTTGTAAGCATTATTAATATCGACCATGCGATTGTTGGCACTCTCACTTTTTGTCTCAGATGCTAAATCAGGATGGTGAAGTTTTGCCAAGCTAATATACTTCTTCTTGATATCGGCATAAGGAGCGCTTGTACTTACGCCCAATACATCATATGCCTTCAGCACCTCTTCCTTACTAGGGAGTGTGGTGTACTGCCGCCTGGTTGAACATACAATAGAAAGCGAAGTGTCTATTACAGATTTACGAGCAATGGTTAAGAGAAAGACGTGTTTAAAGTAAATAGAGTTCATTTGCAGAATTTCCTTAGTCCTATATGTAAAACTTCCTTTGAAAGGGAAAATCGAGCCAAGCTCCAAAACTAAATCACAGAAAAAAAAGTAAGGAGAAGGAGAGAGTGAGAGAGAAATGAATATGCAATTCTAAAAGAGTAGATACATAGAAAAGTCGGATATGATTGCATACATCATAATTTATTAATATTTAGAAGTTTTTTTTCACAGTTTTCCCCCTCGTGTGCATCTTAGCGGTGTTGGACAAAAAAAAATGAACATATAAAATGAGAAGCCAGAATAACGCCTATTATGTGTAACGTATAGATTACATGAGTAAAAAAAAATAATTCTGATATTAATAAGTTCAAGACAAAAAATATATACAAGTAGAACACCTTTTTAAGCGGCTAGAGATCATCGTCCAATTGCGCATTTTGGCGCTTTTGCCACCCTTCAAAGCCCTCTCTAATGTATGTAACAACCTTATACCCATCGTTCTTCAAAAGCGTATGTACGAAAGCGGAACGCCGCTTTTTGTTACAATAAATTGCAATAGGGTCTGTTTTTTGTGGTTTCTTTACACCGTATTTCTTTTCAAAGGCAGAACTACTCATTTTTTGTAGATCTCTGATCTCCGGCACTGGTATATTTATAGAGTAGGGAATATAACCATCAGCCTTGCGTTCATAAGCATCCCTCACGTCCAAAATCAAGACTTCTTTTGCATGACCATTCTTTTTTTCCCTAACAATTGCTTCAATCTCATCATAAGAAATTGAATATTCAAACTGAGCTTTATATGAACTCTGCGACATTAGATCTGGTCTATTTTTTTTTGTACCTTCTGGTGATTTCAGCGGATGGTAAAGAGAAGAATAAACTCTGTGTTTGAAAAGGAAAAAGAAAAGAAGGTCCCATAGACACTTCGAAAAAATCTCACAAAAAAGAATAATGTATGAAGGTATGAGCAGTCATTTGACCTTGCACAGAAAATCAGAAAGTGATAGCAATAAAACTAAAATCGTATATATCGGAGATGATACACAATTAACATGAAGCCATGATATTCATACATGGAACATCAGAAGTGATACATCTCTACATCCGTTCACCGTTTGTTATACTACTTACCCTCACCACCAAAAGCACTTGACCACTCTGCCCAACTACCCGAAAAATTAAGAGCACCAGTAAAACCAAGTTGCTCTGCTATCTCAGCTGCCTTTGCAGACCGTACGCCATGCGCACAATAAAAAATGAGGATTGTGTCACCCTTTACAGGACACTTGATTTTAAACGTTTCTTCGAAATCATTTTCGGTCAAATCATTATTGTCATAGTTTAGGACATCAGGCAGGATCGAAAGAGGAATGTTAATGGCTGTTGGTATCATACCTGTCTGGGCAACTTCTGCAGTCGATCGAACATCGATCAGCATCTTTGTTGCAGCAAGAGGGTCATTGACCTGTTTGGCGCGCACAATTCCCATGACTTGATTTAGGGATATGTGATTAAAGTAAAAAAGAGATCTTCTAAACATTGCTTTTAACGATGTATGCAAAAAATGTGGATATAAAAAAGTACCTTCATTTAGATTATCACACGGAGCATTAACCCAGAAGAGGAGAATAGTTCCTCTGCGCTTCGTACGCGCCTAAAGTAAATCGGAAGAAAAATCGGGATGATACTCTAAATCCAGAAATTTGTAATCTATGTTGATAATTATGTAGTTGTAATAAAATAGTGAGTAGAACATCTATTCGTTAATAACAAATAGGAACAGGTAATTGAAAAAGGAATGAAACTAAAACCAAATTGTATGCATTCTAAGTCTTGATTCAGAGCTTTAACCACAAAATTACTAATACGAGGAACTACGATAACAATATTCAAATGATATGCCAACAACCATGGAAAGCGCTCTCCTTGAGTCGAAGCGCTGTCAATTTATGTGCGCACCGAAAGCGTTGGCCTGGTTTTCGTATCAAAAGAATCGTATGACTGTGAGTATACTTGATAACAGCTAGGTTGCTACCGCAATATGCCGATTGTACAGACAAGGCACCAGAATGTAATCACACCAATATAACCAAGTCGTTTTGCGCTGTGGACTTCAGCGATTTACATTTTCTGAAGACATCACAATCAACACGAGAGATGGAAAGACATTTATTAATTAATGTGAATAGTTCACTTCGACACGAATAATCCCTTGACCTTACCCATTGGCAGAATGGAAAAAAGGGTCAGCTACACGCCCATTTTTTTTCCCATCCTCAACGGGGACCAATCCACGTGAATAAATGATTAAAGGGGATGTGAGAATAGCATTGAGCATGTTGTCGACCATTTGAGAACTTATCTATATGAAGGAAAGGAATACTAACACTTTACGTGTCTATATGTATGTATTCCACGAAAGAAATATATCCAGTGAATTTACTGACTACCAGGAATCATGAGAAGTGTTGTGTTCAATGGTGAGCCTTGAATTTTGTATCGAAGAACGGCATCAGGAAATAGTTCCTGAAGCTGAGGTTTTGTGCGGATGACTGCTTCATTAACGCCATACTTGATATGATGAAGCCTTTGGAAGCATGCTATTGCAATAGGCTGGTACTTCATCTGGATTTCTCTTTTGAGCACGTAGTGGCTGCGACAAAATCCATCAGTTTCTTCCAAAAAGAGACAATCTCGCGTCCTTTGCACTATACTAGCGACATACTCCTTGGCCACTTTGTCAGGCATCGTGGTTAACACATGCTGCAGGACAATAAAATCAAAAGACTTTAATGGTTCATTGCCCTGAAATGCATACACGATATGCAGATTGCCACTTGAAACAGCCTTCGGCAACACATACTTGGATTTTCCGTAAAATTTAATGATCCTTTTCGCAGCAGGGTTGGCTAAAAATCGCTGCCACTCAGAACTTCCGTGGAAGTCGTTATCGACAAAGTGGCTTCCATTATCACGGTAGGTCTGGGGAGCCGGAAGAACCACGAGAACTTCAATAATATCCGTCTTTTTCAAGGGCGTTACCGAAATGCCCGATTCATGTGAGACACGTTTGGCGTTGAGCTCAGGTGAAATTTGATTCATCTTACCATAGTCCACAGGTCCATCCTCGGTTTGGTAATCAAATGAATCATTCAGAAGCCAATCTATGCGCTTAGTGGAGACTTTCTTAATGCGCCGTGCAGCTTCAATTTCCTCTCTCCGCTTGAGTCTACGCATTTGTTCTTCAATAGGCATATTTTTGAAATACCGCGCCCCACCGAAGTGAAAGTCCTTCAATTTCACATTGAGCTTTTTCACAGACATAGCATCTTCAGGCATCTGCAGTTCGTTTCTGCAAGACGCGCTAAGGTGCGCAGCGTAAAGAGCCCAGAAAAAGTGTTCTTCCGTGGCTGTAGCGCTATCCTTTTCGAGAAGACTCAACATCACCTGCTTAGCAACATCGCACAGATCGAAAAAGGCTGTATTCATTTCTGAACGATTGTTCCAATGAAAGTCAATGCGCTCCGGATTGCGGGCTTTCAACTTTAACCATGCCTCCTTGACAAGCTTTAGCCAATGATCTCGGGACCTCACCCACATATCGAATAGCTCTGCGTTCAAAAGCTCAGAAAGCTGAGTTCTTTCCAAATACTTTTGAGATGAGAGTGCAGCCTGCATGGTGAAATCACACTCCTTGAACCCACCCATTTCTGGAACTTTGAAAAAGGAATCAGATGCTTGCACGCGTTCAAGCTCATCATAAGATCGTTCCGGGATTCCATCTGAGACACATAGCGGCTCTCCAAAGAGCACTTCCTCCGCAAAAATACCAGTCTCCAACAACCATTCATGCACACAAAGACCTTTATCTCGAGAGCATGCTAAACGGTGTACAACACTTGTAAACAAGAATGGCGTTAAACGCACTGGATTGAATGCTGAAGGTTTATACGTACTACTGCCATTACTTTTCACCACAATGGAGCGAACCACTGGAGGTTTAGAACACTTTGAATCTAGGGCGGCTTGAAAGCGACGCTGGTACTCTGCATAACTTGCAGGTTCTCCGAGTGCTTTACGGTAGTAGAACACACATGTGAGTCTAGTCCAGTTATCCTCCATCGACTCTGACTCCGTGTTAGAATGCAAGTGATGTGTATTGAAAAGTAAAACATCCAGTGGTCTCAAAACGAAGTTCACCCTAAATTGATCAAGTGTAAGCGCGAGACCCTTGAAATTCCCCTCCAGGCAAGCAAGACAACCGTAGCCTTCGTCAAAGTCTCCAGTGTCCCTGTGAGATGCAGTTCGGAAATGCGAATTGATAGTTAGTGTCGAAAAGGGAGAGTTGTGGATCCGTGTGATGTCTGGAATAGCAGCATCCTGTTTAGCCCATTGGTTTGGTAGAATGTGCTTGTAGATCTGACTCACATAGTCTACCATAGGAAACACATCTCTCCATCGGTGTTCATTTTCATACGTGAAGGCAGTCTTTCGATACTTGAACTCGATAGGCGAGCCGCGGTAGTCAAAATAACCGGCAATTCCGCTATTTGGCGACAATCCCCCATAGATATTGGACCGCAAAGATGTTTTTGTGGCCGCTGAACGAAGCACATTGGCGGCCATCTTGGCTGCATACTCGGGCAGGCCTCGCTTTATAAAGACAGCAATCACATTGCCTTTTCCATCTCGAAATATACCATCCTCGTAAATATCTGCAATGCTATGGGAATTGTCATGAAATGGATGGGCTTTGATAGATTCACTGTATGACTTTTCAGATTCCTTACTATTAATTGATACATCACTAGATGGGAAGTTGAATATTTCGAGTTTGGCCCTCTTCATCGAAGACTCCATCGATTACTTTTTAAATGACTCTACGAAAAACAAATGATTTTGCTTTTTAAAAACACTTTTTTATTTACGTAGATGTAGGCCTAAGCCACGAGAAAAGGGTGACTATTACCTCCACTGTATATAGTTTGAAAGACATAGAAGTCAAAAATAATATCGTTAATATGTGACTTCTATTTATAGCGTGTTTTATCACCAAGCTAGCCACTGAGAGAAGCTAATTATGACTATATAAGTATGGGAAACCAGCTTCGCAGGCAACTAAGCGAATGAATTAATAGACGTGCACCAAGTGTTTTTTCCATGCACAATAAGGCTTACTTTTGGAGAAAATGTTCTCCCTCACAGAAAATAAAAGCGAACAAATACCTCTAAAATAATGACTATTGGCATAATATAGTAGTGAAATTAGCTGCAGGCTTGCATGGGTGCCCAAATCTTAACCACATTATTTGGATGCACCTAACCCAAATAATACTTCACTAAGCCATTACCAGAACTTTTCGAATGTATCGCTCAATTAAATCCAAACATACTGTCCCTGCCTACCATACCTAACAGCGTTTCTGGGCCACCTGAGTGTTGATTTACAAATTGTGCAATAATATAGAGCTCGTTATTTATGACAAACTAGAGATCCTCATGAGACACATGTCATTCAACCCCAAAAGCCTAAAATCAAGCTGGTTTGGATCTTGGCTGAAAAGGATAGACAGTGAACATCAATTGAAATACAGTGATTATGCATAGAATATGTACTGGCATGGATCAAAATCACAGGGGAATGCAAATGCATTGTTCACAATCCCTCAATCACAACAACGCGATCCTTACCTCATTAGTATATAAAATACTCATATCACTCCCGTCAGACTTCTTCCCTTCTCGACATAACCATGCTTCCTCCTTATTACGTCTATGTATTTAGAAAAATGCATATTATAAAAAGCGAAAAGAAAAAAGTAATTGTGTGAAATGGCTCTGCTCAGCACAAGGAAATATAGCAAAGTCTTGAGCAGAAAGAAGAAAGTGACAAAACCCAATTAGCCTGAGTATGTGACAACCATACATTTGGAATACAAACACAATCCATTAGACCCGAGGATTGTTCCATAATGCAACCGCGAAGCCTTTTCTGAGGGAAAAAAGTGAAGCCAAAAGCGTATACTCATGATTGCAGACCTCTATGAGAAACAATAGAACCTCCACTTGTGCACTTATGCTTTGCAATTGATTCGTCGAACTGCAGCTATAATAGTGGAAAAGCTTGCAAATCCGATACGATGCTTATGTTCATTAGCTTTCCTCACATCATCCTGATATTCAGGGTACGGTTTAGGCCTCGGTAAGCCCGCCTCTTGATGAAGACGACATTCAATTGCATACAATTCTGGACTCATCTTTCCCTTCAAAACATTCATCGGGACTGAATCTGACACACCTAACTCCTTACGTTTGACTATTCGTTCATTCTTCTGCTTATTAAACACGCGCATTTCAATTTTAGCAAGATTCGAGCTGAGATCTTTCATGCATGCTTTCATACGTCGCTCTCGAATACTTTTTCTTGCCCTCCGAACTAACTTCATTTCGTTTGACAGAAAGTGTGACTAAAAAAAAATAACATACTGCAGTGTGCAATCAAGTAGGAGAAAGTAAATACGCATGTTAAACGAAATTTTTGTGAGATAAATCAACAGTACTAATCCCAACAGGACCAAGAGGAAAAAGATACCAACTTCGATGAACAATATGGAATAGTCTACATAGGGGAATAACCAGAAATAACAGAAATTGGAAGCATCTAGAAGCTTTGCTTATTTACATATTAAATTATATTTGAGAGTTATCTTAATTTCTAGTTTGTCCCCCTGTTACTCTTCGAAAGGATAAGTAGTCTTCCCACCTTTTGTGTGTCGCAAAGCCCACAAAGGTAAGTAACAGTAAGAAGAGAAAATCATAAAACCTCTACTTTGTCTTCACGAGTTCCACACTCAGGAAACGAACCAAATGGCCAGGCAGAGGGTCAGTATATGATTGTTTTAACAATTTTCTGAAGCATCTTTGATAACAGGTTGTTTTGAGTGTGTACAAGTATTCCACATAGCTCACGTCTAGCTTACTATACCCGTATAGTGGGTTCAGTGAAATTTGCCATTTCAGACTACGCACTGTGATATTACTAAGCCACGCATTTAGAACAACTCTTTGCTTTGGGTTCTGTAAGACGAAACGTACCTCAATACCATGGCGTGTTTTTCTTACAATAAACTCGAGACCATCTGATTCAAGTGGACGACATTCCTCAATTTTAGAGGCTACATCACTAATCAACACACCATCTATATTTCGGGACATATTTGAAAGGATAAGATGAATAGTATTCGTGAGAGTGATTTCAGAGATAGCGACATTATCCAAGATATGCTTAAAAAGGGAAAACATATCCCCCTGCACCTTTGTGCTGCCAACACCAAAAGTAAGTTGCGCAGTGACAAGCTGAGAATCGCGCTCGCGTCGCACACGATCCTTTACTTTATCTGTCATCAATACATCGCGTACTGGGATCAACTCCGCCACAAAGGGCACTTCTCTTGAGAGCTCGTGACACAAGGCATTGAATTTTTCTGCAGAACACGTAGATTGCATTTTACCGACGATGTATTTTGCAAAGGATTTCCAGTCTCGTTGAGATTCGTTGGTATCAATACCACCCGCGAGGACGGAGTATATAGAAGCGGCCGGCACTCTTGGTGCGTGGCCGTCAAACGCCTTTACTAATGACCACGAAAGGATACGACGCTGTTGAGGCTTATACGGCATTCGAAGAATGTTACCCGTGCTGCTAGCAAGACAGGCAAAGCCGCAAGAATATGGAAGAACTGGTTCAAGATCAATTGCAAGAATACACTGAAAGCCCGGCACAAAGGACTGCCGAAGGGCAGCCCGCAGGATAGTTTCAACATTAATTGCCGAGTTTGCATACGGCTCAATGAGGATACTTTCGCACGGATACACGTAACTCTGAATCGTGTCCAGTAGCATAAATTTTCGTTCGTACTCTTGGGTCATGACAACTGCTTGCCTTACTAGACGAACGATCATTTGAAACTCCATCTCACACTCTGTGAGAAGCGCATTACGGAACGAAAGAAACTCTTGCTCAAGGTCAGCTTGAGCAGTTTGAAACATGATGGCTTGCTGCTGAGCTATCATCTCCAGCTCCTCAGAGTTTGCTTTCTTGTATCTGCCTACTTTCACTGCCTTCTCTTTTTTGCCCTTTCTACGAGGCTTGATGTTTGCCCTTGCTTCCTTAGCTTGTGAGATCAATAAACGAAAGGCTTCACCCTCCTCACCCCCTATTGTGGCTCTCGAAGTTCCTTCCTCGAGAGTGATGTGTAAGCTATGTAATCCCACTAAAAGAGGCTGCCGTACATTCATCTGCCCACCATACCCACTTATGTAGATGAAGTTGGAGTTGGAGGGGTCAATGTGCGAGATAGCTTCCATTAATTGCGTAGCAGTCGGGTCTGCTAAATGTTCAACCTCATAGCCTTGTTTACGAAGAACTTCCTCCAAATCCGCTGTTTCGGCAGTTATCAGTGGCACCGCAGGGCACGCTACGTGGTTAAGTGTGATCAAAAGCGCGTACAACTCTTTCTTCGCTTGCACTAGTGGATTTGTACGCAGAACACGTATTTCCTCCAGCTTTCGCTCTTGTATCTCACGAATTTGCTTCCGATTAAATGCATCAGCTTTTGCCAGTTTAATCCGCCAGTTTCGTTGAATCACAATGGCAGATTTTTCCCTAGCACCGTCATGAAGGCGTTTGCTAAATAAGAAAATTGAAGCTGCCTCATCGAAGGTCATGGATGGACGCACCCGATGAAGTATGTGTAAGCTCGAGCCGTATTTAAAATTTAAGAGTTGTGCATGTAAAATGCTAGCCAAAAACCATGGCTTTCCCTTTCCTACTAACGATTGAACAATATCGTCTGAGAGGAGAGGAACTCCAGGTATAGAGTTGAGGGGTCCAAGGCGAGCAGTTGTATAAGGGGTCATAGTTGTTGCCAGAAGGACGCTCTCCACACTCTCAATCATACGATTGAGCATTAGTTCACGGCGGCCACGTTGGCCCTCAACAATATACGAGTAGCGCCACTTAAGCATATTGTAATCGTAGACAGCATCAAGGGGCAGCTCTGGGTCGCACAAATGAAGCAAAGTCACATTACAGTCGCCTATTCTGACGACTATCATAAGGTGGCCTTGCACAGTTGGAGAAGACAAGACGGCGTTAAATGACTCCTCGAGTTGCACAATGGTGTCCAATGGTTTGAAACACTCGTTTGGGATAGCTCGCCACGTACGCCAGGAATTCTTCGTACTACAGTTTCCACCTACATCATCATCGTCGCTTATTACCTGAGGACTGTATGTTTTGCCGTGAATTGTATCCTCAATAGCTTCTTGTGGCGTGCCTATAGAGTCAAACACACATGTGAAGACCACCACGGCGATTGACACGTGATTATTCTTATACACAACCAAATCGAGCTTGCGATTATCTTCCCTTTCCTCCTCACACTTTTTTACCTTGCCAGGCATCCAAAGAACGTCATTCCTACGAACACATCCGGTACTAGGATTAATCAGCAATCCGTGATTATGGTGGCCAGAGCGGTCCTGCATGACATAGGCCCCTGGCCCTTCATCCATGTTCAATGTGCTGTAAATTTTGCCCCTAAGTGACACATAAAAACATCCTATTTGACCTAAGAAGGGGCGTTTGACTTTCCAATTTCGAACGTTATGCCCTCCCACACAAATCCAGTTATCGAATTCGACAAAGCGGTTTGGTCCCTCACGAACGATGTACAAAAGTTCTTGTGGAACCCCATCTACTGAAACAAGGAATTTGTTAGATTCGCTGTCCACACACTTCCAAACTAGTGTGTGCCACTCACCATCCATCAAGTTTTGTCGTTCAGAGCCGCGAAGGAGAGCAGAACAGCACGCGCCGAATGCATCCACAAGATAAAAGGTCACGTTGAATTCGTGAAAATGAAACCTCTCTTTCAGAAAAAGCGGCTCTGCATTAAGAACAATACCAAATTCCTGCATCTTGTACTTCTGGTCCGTTACCCCAACAAGTGACATGATGCTTGTGGAGACATCAGTGCGAAAGCTTATCTCGAGGCGCCAATTCTGCATAAGCTCACCCCATAGTGGCATGAGCCCTAGATTCATCGAAAGATTGCCATCGAAATACGGCGAACTATTTGGAACGGGTTCCTCCACTTGTTTTAACGAGAGCAAACTCTCGTGATGATCTGCCGGTATGGTCTTGGTTAGCTCTATGAGTTTACCACTTGCGTCAGCGAATAAACGCCAAAAAAGCAATAGCTTCCTTGCCTCTCCATCAGACCAGAAGCGCAAATCCAAGAGAGTTCCACGAAATATTGACGTCGGATTATTATTCTCATTAAGGAATCCTCCGATAAACAAACGATGCGGCCATGAGTTAAATGCAATAGGATGCTCTTGTTGAACCATCTGGACATCTGCCGAACGGCCGTCTATGAGACATTGGATCAGCCCCTCATCAAGACTTTGAACAGTGAACAAAATGTGATGGAATGACGTTCCAGAAGTAACCTGTGGGAAGTTGTTGAGCGAAATAAGGGCCTCCAAAACTCGATTTGCGGAATCGCGTGCAAAGAGTCGAATGGACTCTTTCATTTCTTCATAACAATTGAGTGATATTTGAAAGAGTTGCCCTTTGTCCTCATTCTGGCCATCCATAATCTGGACCAGCACGCGCTTCCCTTCCGAAGCAGTGCAATCTGTCCGTATCCAAAAGTCGACCGAGAACGATCGAATTACTTCCTTGAAATTAGGAATGCCTGGCAACGCCATGACAGAGTTCTCACCATCAAAGTAGTATGTCACCATGGATGTGCCCCATCCATTACCTTTGAGGGGCTCAGGGGGGGAGTTCTGACTTTTTGTTTGAAGCTTTCCAAGAAGTAATAACATGGATTTCCTATTCTGCTGAGAATACAGGTAGGAATGCTTCCTAACATTTGGATCGCGACTACCTACCACCGAACAAGAGTGGCTCGTGAAGTGAAACACAGGCGGATTCGCGACAAAAGCAGCGGGTAGTAAAAGGGTTCCCTTGGTGCACGGTGGAGTCAGATCAGAAGTATGCGAAGCCGAAACCAGAGTGTAGCGACTCATAGACGAGTCTGTGTTCTTAGATTTGCGACTATGAGTAAGATGTTTCTGATTGTAAGGGTATTTTCTATTGAATGAATGTAGTGTTTTAATCAGATCCGTAGAAATAGGCAGAGCTTTTCCTACGTCAGTGCGAGATCTACTATATTCAGAAGTTCCCTTAGTTGACTCCTTCACTCCGCTACGCCCATCGCCTTCAAGTTGGAGAAGGCGCTGCATCTGCTTTTCCTTGGCAATTTCATCAGTCACAAGTTGCATAGCATATTCAACGGTGATTTTGATGTTGTCTAATAGATTCAATAAAAGTTTCTCAAAGTACCGATCACCCTGTGTGCCACGACTAACAATGGTAACATTTTCACGTTTTCCAACGCTTATGGAAATATTAGAGTAAAACTTTTCAAGAACAGGACTCCCTTCATCGGTGTTTTCGATGCAAAAATCGTAAGGGGTCACGAGAAAGGTAGGATGGTCAGGAACTTTATTTGATAACAAGGCATCATTAATGCTTTCTTCTGAAGGCTGATCAGCCGCAGCGTTGCAAGCCAAGGCAACGTTTCGTCTGTGTGGAATGAAGTGGCACATTGGAGACTTCATTCGCTCTCTTTTGGCGACATCATCCTGCTCTAATGCAAAGATAAGTCCCATTTCGTGAAAACCGATAACCTTGATTCTCCTTCATGTTGAATATACCATAGAATCGATTCAAATATATTAGAAAAGAGGAAGGAGAAATGTTAATTAGAAAGCAGAAAGAAACAGTGCTGTACTGAGCTACCACCTCAACTTTACTAAAGGTACGCAACTCCAAGAGAAGGGATGCCTAATAAAATGCTTAAAATGATACTTTACATTTCGTGTGCTGCGAACAAAATTATCTCTTCTTTACTTTCCTTTTCATCCCCTTATTGTTGACCGAGAGGGCATCTAAGATTTCTTTATATACATCGGGATCCACACGCTCGCTCACTACAAGCTTGACGATACGTTTATTGTTTGTGATAGCAATGAGTAGTGACTGTGGTCCGGAAGGAATGAGTGTGTTAAGGTCTAAGTTAACAGAAATAAGCGAGGCACTATTTTCTATGCCCTCACAGAGGGCATCGATGGTTTCAGCGCTTGACCCGAATCCGACATCTGCAAGATCAAGCTCCTCAAGGCGTAACCCAACATTAAGAGCGCGTGCTAGATACAGAACACCAGAATCCTGGAGAGAATAATTGCCCCTTAATGATAATATTTTCACATTGCTGCATTCAATGACAGAAGCTGCGATAAAAGGTGCTCCAGAATAACTAATTTCACAATACTGTAGTGACAAATCCGTCAACTTTGTGTTCCAACGGAGTCCATTACAAAGAGCTTCAATTCCCTTGTCACCGATTGGGTTAAAATCCAACATCAGGCGCTTAATCGTGAAGTTTTCACAAAATACGCTCGCCAGGTAGCTAGCACCACGAGGTCCAATATTACATCCAGGTAACTCTAAACATTCTATGCCAAAGGGATTTTTTTCAGTGCTGGGTTTATAGGCTTTTAAAAACTCAACGAGAGAAAGAACACCATCATCTGCTAGCTCACAGTGGTGGAGCTGAATAACTCGAAGGTATGGATACGGTGGTAGAACTACAGAAAAAAGCAGCTTTGAGTCATGTAGAGGCAACTTTTCATAAATAAACAGTGGAACTTGCGGAACGTCCTTCATTTCCCCCTCTTTGGTGCGGATCAGTTCGATTTTTACTCGCTTCATAAATGGTATTATCTCCTCGGAGAGCTGAGCGCAAGACTCATGGAGACGCCTCAAATCGACATCTACATGTAATTCTTGAGCGATAGAGATCTGATGATCCTTGGCAGGTTCCTTCTTAGCACCTACCTTTTTTCTCTCCATGCTTTAGCAAGTTCATGCTCTAGAATAAAATGGAAAATAGCTAAAGTGAAACTGCAAAGAAAAAAAAACTTTGATTAGCAGTATTGCTATCATATTTCATTAGTGAAAGTAGTGCCTTTATACCCTTGTAAAAGCAGCAATATTCGCAGCCCACGTGCAAAATGTATACATGAGACAAAATTCATTCATCACTCTAAAGTTCGTTTGCCTTTTTATTCTCATACATGGAAATGAGACTGAGGCTCAGGCTCGAATAACAGCTGTCTGAGTTCAAGCAAATCAATAAAATCGCCCTCTGTGTGAAGAACCGAAGCAACTTCTGTGGCAGAAGGAAGGTCTTCTTCCTTCAATCCTAAAGCTGTTATGATTTCCCTCAGAATGTGTGGAAGGTCCTCTAGACTTGCGGTACCATCCTCACTTTTGCTGTATTTTTGCAAAATTGCATCAATACTTTCTTGTCTGCAAGCAAGTGTGGGTGTACTGATTTTGTCGTTAGATTGCGTAGAAACATATTCATCCTCAACAAAGACTCCGTTTTCATCAAAAGGGGGGCATTTTCCAGATATAATGGCAAAGAAGTTTGCACTGTACTTGTATACATCCGTTGGTTCATCACGCAAAATGGCTTTCGTGTATTGTTTCATAATTGTTCCTAACTCAGGTGGTATATGCACCTGCTCGACTGAATAAAGTGCGTCCATCCTCGTATACGTAGAAGGACTGGAATCAAATCCACCACAAGTACATTTTATTTTAAGAAGAGGGGGTAATATGAGAAAGGGCCAAGAATAGAATTTTCAGATGTTGTAAAACAATAAAAACAACAAATAACCAGTGAGTTTCTAACTATTCAGTTGATACAACCAAGATCTCAAGAATATATTGAAGCCAAAAACTACACAAGTAAATAGGCTCTCATTTTTATAAAGCAGTTTCCCGTACACGTGGAAGATCTATAGAAATATATGTCTATGTGAATGCCGAATAATTACTTGGAAAGCATAGAAAGCGTATTAGCTTGATCCAAAACGATACGTTCTAGTCTTTCCTTTGACTCTGCGATATCCGAAAGATCACTCCTGGCAATCTGCAAGTCCTGGTCAAGCTTTTGTCGTGTTTCAGATTCTATACGAAGCTTTTCCTTAAGGTCAGCAAGTTCCTTACTGCGTGAAGCGAGCTCTTGCTTAAAAACACTTACCTGATTAGACATGTTGTCATAATGATTTGAGGAAGAAAGAACATCACGCGCAACCAGACGTGCATTAGACTCTTCGACCATTTGATTCCTTTGAGCTTCGGTCGCAACTACAGCCTGCAATCTTGTAACGTCAGACTCGAATGACTCGCATTGACGTCGTAGAATAAGGCACTCATTTTCTTTGATAACGATTTGCTTACTAAGTTCTGCTAAACTTTGATGTAGTTTTTCGATAGAATGATCTTTTGCATGTATGAGTTGTTGCAGCTCTTGACACTTGTTCTCCAGCTTTCCTGCAAGCGCATCGTTGTGAAGAATTTTACGGTGCAGCTGATCATTTTCATATTCAAAGGCTTGCAGATCGAGTACAAGCTGCTGCTCCCGCTGATGCAGGGCGCTAAGCTGCTCTTGAAAATAGATGATGCCCTCCTCTTTGGATGCCAAAGTTGCTCGAACACCATCCAATTCCTTTTCAAGGAATCTTTGGTTTGCCAAAATCGTGTCATTTTCCTTAACTGAGTTCTGATACACCGTAAGAACTTCTTGAAGCTCGCCGTCTTTCGCCTTGAGTGAGAAAGCGAGCTGGGACTCACGCGTTAGTAAACTCTGAATTTCGGCTCTTAAGTTTTCATTTTCACTTGCTAACAGACTAAGTTGCTGGTTTGAGTAGTTTTTGTTAGAGATCAACTCATCCATATCCTTTTCGTACTGCTTCAACTGCCTTTCCCAGGTTCCATGTTCATGTTCTAATCTCATAATCTCAGAGCGGAACTGGTGGTTTTGATCTTCCAAAGCATTAATTTTCTCAAGTAGATCGCGCTCAGTCGCCGCTTGAAAACTATTCTTTTGCTGCATTGAGTGTACCTGAATAGACAATTTTTCAGCATCATTAGTAATCATTTTGCGTCGTTCAATTTCGTCAGCCAGGCGCTTCTTCGTGCTATCTAGTGTGAGAAGCGTATCCTCTTGTAAAGCTTTCAAGTCCTCGAGTTGGGCTCGAAATGCGTCACACTCCTGAGTTTTTCTCTCCAATGTATGACATAAATTATGCATTGACTGCGAATCTGGATCAACAAGGAAGAAAGGCGATTCGATTTGGCATTCTTTTTCAACTTTTTCCGGTAAACATACCTGGATGGCAAAGTCCCTGACATTAAGAGGTTCAATTTCCGTTTGTTTGTCGATTTTAAGCATAGAATTTTTAGTCAGATTCGCAAGATCTTGACTGAGCTTTTTATTTTCGTCAGACAATGCCCTAATTATCTGTGACAACTTAAGATTTTGATCACTCACTACAGTATGTTCTTCCCGAGAAATACGACTCGCCTCCTTCAATTCGCTCGTACGCATTTTGAGTGTCGATTCAAGTTTTCGCGCCCTAGATTGTATCTCATTTTTTTCCAGTGTCAAAGTGCTTTTCTCTGCATTTACTACAGCCAGCTGCTTTTCTAAAGCGGCACATCGTTTCGAAAGATCAACTTCATTCTTCCGCTGCCCAACTCTAGCCCTCCACTCGGTTATCTCAGAGTCTTTCTGCTCAATAATATGCTCATAGTGACAAGCAGCCTCCTTTGCCTCCGTCATTGCCTTCAGTCGCATGCTGTTCAGTTGATTTTCAAGCCGCTCAACCTCGTTGTGTAAAAACGTTATCTGGGAGAGCAAATGAGCTGTACTGGTATCCATTATCATCGAATTCGACTGCGTGAAGCCGTCCCACGCATTCTCCTTTTGAGCTGCATTTGGGCCAACCATCATATTTTTTTACGCACAATTTTTTAACGACCAATATATATATATATATATATATATATATATATATATTGTGTGTGTAC